TCATCAGTATTAGTCAGTTCCTTATTCCAACCATCTATCATTCTGTGGTTAATGTTCAAAACATGTGACTATGTCGCAAATATTGTAAACATTCGTGTACACATAAGTCACGTGATGTACCTTGCTGTATTGAACACAAGGAGTGGATCTATATTGCAACAGCAAAACTATTGCAAGAGACTTCTGTATTTATAATACATCACGGGTTTGACTCGTCGTCTACTATTTCACGAAGTGGATGCTATGTTTATTGGTACACTTGTAGAAATGTTTTAATGAATATTTAATGAAATATTTGAAACGTTATTTAATGTAGCGTTTAAGCCTCATCAATTTCGATAAAAGATAAAATTAGATAAGAAGTGAAATCAAACTCTGATAGATAATTCTATATCAGACGAAAAAAATATCGGAGAATGGGTTCTTTGACCACAGAAAGATTCTACATGAAATAAGAATATTATTATATGGCCATCTTACAATGGACTTTTGGGGGATTTGTTGTCGGGCACGAATACTTTGTCTAGTTAACTCGGAATTCATCTGTGAATATGACTAGCGAATATGACTAAAGGTGAAATGAAGTGAATATTGGATAGTTTTGCTGTAGCAACCAAGACATTAAACTGGATACGATCATAATTGTCAATATTTATTATAAGAATCAATTCAAAACGCAAACTATTTTTTGTTTTCGTTTTAGATTATATATTTTGCAGCCCTCCGAAGAACGTTTCCGAATACTTTATACAATGTCTGTGGTATTCAAATCTCGATTTTATTTTTCTCAACAGATCGGTTAATATATATATATAATATACATAGAAATTTACACATTTTAACGAAATTTCTTGCACTGGTACAAATGTTTTAGTCCTCCTATTAGCTTCAAATGCTAAGTGGTCCCATGCATCTTGGACTGTCTTAGCTTTCAACACTGTTTCCTATTCTATTTCTTCCAACCAACTCACTTCTCATTCCTTCATAGTTAGCCCACCTGATCCGAGCACCCAATCAGCTTATTCCACACTGGAGCATCCTTCCGTCAACTTTTTCTACCATTCGCTACTAGTCATGAACGAATGAACATATTTTGACCGAATTTGTTCCGAAGTATCCTTTGGGAAGCAGATTAAAATTAGTATAAATGGTGAGTCTCGGTCTCCTTAAAGCCTGAAGAGTGGGCCAAGTAGGGGAAACCGAGTAAAGTCTTTAAATTCCTATTCCTACTCTAGGAATCATTAGACTTTGCCTATACTTGGTCTGATGCATTCTTTGGTGTGGGGAATTCATTTTGTATAAACAGTGGGTCTCGGCCCCCAATCCCAAGAAGATAAATATAGCAAATAATATAAGATATTATTTCTCCTTTAGGAATTATTGAATTTTGTCAAAATTGGTCTGAAGTATCCTTCGGTGAAGAGGGAATCAATTTTGTGTATCGTGTGGGTCTGAGGGAATCAATTTTGTGTATCGTGTGGGTCTCGGCTCCCTTGGGGCGGGAGGGGTGGTGCCCAATTGTGGAAATAGAACAAATTCTTTATAACCCTCTTCCTCCTCGTGTAGGAATAACTGGATTTTGCCGAAATTTGATCTGATGCATTCTTTGGTGAAAGGGATTTAATTTTTGTAACGAGTTCAGATTTTATTGGTACTCTCAGACATACAAAGTATGTTACAAGAGGTCAGGTTACAACAAAAACATTCATGGCATGGCGGTACACAGTTACATACATAATGATATTTTAGCTACGTAGATTCAATAGATTATCAAGCTTTTCTAGAAATTTACTGAGATTTGATAAAACTTTAACATTACATACAGAAAAAAGTCCATGCATTTTTGTAATACTAGGATAAGTAGAATAGTAATGTGGAATAAATTGATCTCTTATTCTCTTCACTGATTCATGATCGCATCTAAAAAGATAGTGGTATTCATCGCCAATTTCATTTGAGCAAAGATTACAAACTCTGTTCTCCTTCGGTATTCCGATCCATCTTCCTGTTTCTATAGGTGAACGCATATTTGAAGTTCTAAATTTAACGATAATTTGTCTTTCTCTAGGTTTAAGTCTCGAAAGATATTTTTTCTAATTCAAAATTACTTTTCATTATACAATAGGTATTTCCTCGAGAGGAATTAATTACATCACTGAACCATTTTTGTATGAACTGGTCTTGTAGTCTTTGCTTAATGACAAGTTTTAAATAATTTCTATTAAATGTACATATTTTCTGGAAGTCCCAGATAAAGTTTAAACCAGTTCTATAAAAATATTTTGAACATTTTTCAACCACTCGAAATCCATATTGCCATTTATATGTAGATTGTACATTAAGTTATACATGATACTTGACAAGTTATTACAGATAATTAATTTATACCAAAACATAATAACTCTGCTTTTAGCTTCAATAAGTAAAGGGAATCTCCCCAATTCACCATAAATCATAAAAGTTGGTGTACTGCTTCTAATACCTAAAATACGTTTGCAGAATTGTAAATGAAGTTTTTCAATGACACTTAAATTTTCAAAACCCCAAACTTCCACTGAATACAAAAGTATAGGCAACACAAGTGAGTCTAAAATCTTCAACTGAATGTCTACTGGAAGCTGAATATTTCTTATTTTCTTATAAACAGCAAACATTGCTTTTTTAGACTGTTCCATTAATTTACATTTAGCTTTAAAGTAACTTCCGTTGTAATTAATTAAAACACCCAAATAAGGAAATTCATCAAGAATTTCAATTTCTTCATTACACAATGTAAAGTGGAAGGCTGTACGACCTTTTCTCTTTGCAAATATAACAATTTTGGTTTTGTTAGTATTAACATTAAGCTTCCAGGTATTACAATATACTTCAAAAGTATTAAGAGCAGATTGAAGTCCTTCCGCTGTTTCAGACATAATAATAGTGTCGTCTGCATACAGAAGAATAAACAATTTTAAATACATTTCAATGTTTTCACCCAAAGTTTCTATTGTTTGAAGACAATTAACATTATTTTCTGCAAGAAAATCTTCCAGATCATTAAGATAAATTGAGAATAAAATGCTGATAAATTTTTCCCCTTGTTTTACCCCGATATCACAATTGAACAATTCATTTCCATTTTTGACACAAGATTTGGTATTTTCATACAAGTTAAATATTACTCTGAACATCTTCCCGGTTATATTACTCTTTTGAACTTTTCTCCATAGACCAAGTCTCCAAACTGAATCAAAAGCTTTTCTGAAATCTATGAATGAACAGAATAATTTCTTTCCCAGTGAAAAATAAATAGAAGTTAATGCATGTAGAATAAAAATGTTGTCAGTGGTGGAATGATTTTTCCTGAAGCCAGCCTGGGAGTAGGTAATTAGATTAATTTCATCAGCCAACTTGTTTAGTCTGCTATTGCATATTGATGTAAAAACTTTTCCTAGACATGAAACAAGACTTATAGCTCTATAATTGTCTAAGTCAGATGGACCTCCTTTACGTTTATAAATGGGTTTAATAACCCCTATCTTCCAAGAGTCGGGTATACAACCGGTATTAAATATAATATTAAACAACTTACAGTACAAAGGTTTAAACAGTTCAACAGTGGATTTTAAATATTCATTCAGAATTCCGTCAAAACTTGAAGCTTTATTACACTTCAAACATAAAATGGATTCTCTAATTTCACATTCAGTAATATTTCCATTCAACAAATGATCAAATCTACCATCCCCATCTATAATCACATCGTCAAACATCTCGTCAGAGTTATCTCCCTTATTCAACTCTTTAAAGTAGCTATATAACTCATTAATATTTTTGTCAAGCTTCTTTTCCTTACAGGGGCCATCAATTTCATTTAAAATATGCCAAAAGGTTTTCGGCTCTAGGTTCGAAACTTTTCTTGGTTCCGTTTCCATTTTCTCTTGATGAATTCTATATGATTTGTTTAAAGTTTTCCTATACTACGTACCTGTATTTTTAAGATTAATTTTATTTGCGGGAGTTTTATCGACGTTATACTGACGTTTAGCTTGATGAAAGTCTAATCTTTTACTATGGCACTCACGTGTAAACCAAGGTTTATTGACGTTTCTTCTTTTGTTTGCTTTATTATACGTTTTCTTTTCACCAAATACACACTTTGCCGAAGTTTTGAATATATTACTTATAGAACGTACTATATCATTTATTTCAACAACATCTACTAGGTTGCACGGCTTTTGAGATAAAACATCTATTTTTTCAACAATTTCTTTGAATTGTGGTTCTCGGCGCCTAGGAACGGGAGGATCAATGTCCAATGGGGGGAATAAAGCACAAGGATATTCTTTATTTTTTCATTCTTTTTTTTTAAATTCTCTTAAAAGAGTGAATAGCTGATTTGCAGGTGAGCGATACAAGCCCCAATGACCTGTCGTAAAGGACAATTATAGCAAAACATTCAGGATACGCCTGAATACTTCAGAAATAGTTTTTCCTTTTGTTGTTGACTGGTGTGTAAACTGCATTTTTACATATATTTCAGCATAATGCACTGACGCAGGTTATCTAAAATATCAGCTAAAATGCATTAACGCACGTCATTTACACTCAACAAAGAACACAGAATCATTAACGTTCTTTTTCAGAAAAACAATCGTCATTCATTAGACGTTATAGGCACCGACGGAACAGGATAACTAACTGAATAAGAAAATAGCTGATTCCATTTTGGCGGGAAACGAAGTCTGACTTATGTTTTCCCGAAATCCAAAAAAAGAACAATTAAATGCAGTAAACTGTTGCAGAATTTATTGTGCTTGTTCGCTGGTTGATACTAAACATCTGTTTATCCTGGAAAAATTATGGAAAAACTTCCACTCAGTCCGATTGCTATTACATCAGAAAGCTGAAAATTTCCGACGAAATGTTGCATCATGCACACAGATTTTTTTTTTAACCGGATTTCCGTTTTGCTGACTAGTTATCTCGGTAGCAAGCGTCTGTGTGATTCACGTGCGTTCGGAACTCCTCTATCAGAATAACGTTGGCTCTAACTTAAAACTTAATATCTTACACGTGCACTGACTGCCGTAAGTGTTACCTTTTATTTTTGTTTGTTATATGTTATTTAGATGCTATCGAAATGCATGTCAAATTCGAAAGTCCAGCGCTGAAGTTGTGCCACGATCTGACCTTCAACTGCTCGACATTATATGCATCCTGCCCAACGCACAGTGTTACTTTTTGTTTACACCACTTTCCATTAATGTAAACACTTAAACAATAAAGACACTTTCACGTAATATTGCAAAATGCATTCGTATATTTGACACGCTAGTCTTGACATGCCGTTAACTTCACGTGACAGTGCTGCGAGCCGGCACTTCCTAGGTAATTTGGTGTGTAATACAAGAAGTGTAAAGCTGACGATGTAAGACAGGTGTGGTATTTCATAGTAATGTACGTAGTAACATGTTTAACATTCAAAAAGTGTCCTCTTTTAGGTAGTGCCTAATTCATATCAGTTTATATGCCTAATATAGTAATAGAATTGGTACCTGGAATCACACAAGTCTGATGTTCTGTCAACAAGAATATGAATTAATAATCTCTATGAAATTAGTCTACTATGCTACATGCATTATAAAAACACTACTGAATAGTATATTATATATTATAGTGATTATTTTGTATTCTTAATGACAGAACATAAGACTTATCAGTGCCGAAATGAAAATGCAATGAGTATGACTATATGTTTGTCAATATTTGAGGAAAGTGAATGTGTATTGACACCCCCTCCATAGTTGCTTCGCTGGTTGACATGTTTAAATTTCACCGATATGTAATCAGTATTCAGCAGATGTGTCCCCTTCTATTTTGTATGGCAGATATGGGCATGTAATATTAAAATGAATAAAACACTTCTTGAAAGCGAGCACAATTTGATCATTATGATGCAGGTTTTTAGCAGCGTGCCATTCAAACCATGAAAGTACATTGTTTATTATATGACGTTATAGCTTGTTGTTGTACACAGGGATATCTGGGATAATGTGTGTTAATGCAAGTATCTAGGGCATTGACTTACTTATAAACTGATAACATGCATCCTACTTGGCACATGATCGCTAATCAATATACTAAAACATGTATCCTACTTGGATTTATTTATTCAATGAGATTTACATCCACAGTTATTGTCTTTCGAACTTTCAGTGATGCATGTATCCAACTTAGCACATGAGCCCAAACATTAGCAGTAATGATTGATAATCAATGTTGGGAATTGATTGCCATTTAATGATCGATCATCAGATCATTTGAACTGATCAATGATCAACTAATAATTGATTATGGGAGGGACATACAGCTCCATTTTTGCAATGATAAATTGGTAATATCAGACATAAGTAAAGAAGAATTAAAAAAAGTTAAGGAGTTATGTGCTTCACACTTTCTTTCCCAAAAGTCATGAAGAAAGATTACGTTTGTCCCATTGGAAAATTATTATTATTAAGCGCTTCAGTGGTGATGTTGATTTGCCTGTCTTGTTCAGCCAGATGCTTGATCACTGTGTAATGTTCATTGTTTTTTTTCTTGTGATAAATAGGAAAACGTGAAAATCACTTTTTATTTTACTGAGAATTGATCATAAAAGATTGTAGTTGATTTATTAACTAGTCAGGTAACCGACCAATACTCAACTTATTTGAGTCTATTAATCAGAACATCACTATCGATAATCATAACCCATGCATTATTTTCCACACCAGCCCAATTTTAACAGTTCTACACACAAGCTCAGGGCCATACTTGAGCTCAGGGCACTACCTCCTGTTTCTGATAGTATATGCTTGCTATATCTACAGTATGCACACACACACTATGCAGTATTGTGCACACAACCATGTGACGGCACATTTTGTGTGGTTTGGAAAAATTTGGAAAAACTTCTTACAGAAGAAAGGCACAAAAATGCAATAACCCATTTATTTCTGAATCAAATCCTTAGTTAATTCCTAACTCCTAATGCTCTCAGTTTTGGCTACTGGCTGGTTCTAGATGGAAAACCTTAATATTATGTAATCATTAGCATTCGTCAATTTAACAGAATTCTTGCATCATGCTATTATGCTTTAAATGCCTGTTCTCTTCATTATTAATAGCATGTCTCTTGCATCAGATTTTTTGAGAAAATTTTTCCAGGATTTTGTTACAGTATAGATATAAGAACCTGTCAGAAGGATTAATAGTTTACTAGTGCTTTTGGTATTGTTGCCTGTAACTGCTGCTGGTCACAGTACTTTTAGAGACTTTGAATCATGTAAGTTGCTGTTAGTTTAGACTAAAGATCCAGATATGGGGATAATGTTATCATTTTATTTTTAATCAGTGAACTCTGGATGCCATATTTATGATTGTACATCAACAATGTATCAAAGGTCATATCTGTTTCTTATCTCGGTGAAAAATAAGAGGATGTAAATCTAGATTACAGTTAATGTGATTGTTCCATTCATTCAGGCTTCTGGCTTATTTTCCTTTATTCAGAGAAACTGGAAATTCATCTTAAAGTTAAGCACTTATTTCCTGGTATTAGATTTCGTAGTATAGATATGACTACTTGGTGTATATATTACTTGAACATGTGATATATTAGTAGGGTTTAAATATTTTGTAGGTACATAGTTTTTATAATTATTATAAGGTTAGATTTTTATAATTATTATGAAGTTATAGTGTTTTGAAAAAACTTTCATTTTCATGGGGGACTAAATCCACAAATTTAGATGTCCATCAAAGGATGAAAAAATACATTGCAAGATTTATTCATGAAATCAGGTGCCATAGAAAATGTTTTTTTTTGTTTTGTTTTTCTTTTGAAAACCACAAAATTTAAGTCACATGAAAAAAAAAACCATTTTGAAGAATCAAGTACACGTGACTGATATATGTAAAGCCTATACATATAAATTTTAAGTTTACATGTGATTTACTCATAACTCTGTACAAGTAAGGTTCTGTTTAAAGTTTACATGTGATTTACTCATAACTCTGTACTAGTAAGGTTCTATTTAAAGTTTACATGTGATTTACTCATTACTCTGTACTAGTAAGGTTCTATTTAAAGTTTACATGTGATTTACTCATAACTCTGTACTAGTAAGGTTCTGTTTAAAGTTTACATGTGATTTACTCATTACTCTGTACTAGTAAGGTTCTGTTTAAAGTTTACATGTGATTTACTCATAACTCTGTACTAGTAAGGTTCTATTTAAAGTTTACATGTGATTTACTCATAACTCTGTACTAGTAAGGTTCTATTTAAAGTTTACATGTGATTTACTCATTACTCTGTACTAGTAAGGTTCTATTTAAAGTTTACATGTGATTTATATATTTATCACATACATGTATATTTCGCTAGCATGGTTAACATATTAATGGATTATTATCATCATTTAAAAAAGCTTACAGGTAATATGTTTATTAAATTGTAATCATTTTTAATCTACTTGTACCATTTAATTGCAATCACCTTTATCCGGCATTATGTATCTGTAAACAATTTAACATTTTCAACTTCTCAAAAACCCTGGATCTGATCGCAATGAAATTTTGCAGAATTCCCCTGGCCTAAGATGAACCAAAATTGTTAATTATACATTCCCCACCCCCAGGAGCCTGAGGGGCAGGGCCAAAAGGGGTCAAATTGACTTAGATTTTAAAAATCTTCTCAGGACCCAAATGTGGTAGAATCAAATACTCTTCTTGAATGGAAGCATCTTAAGGTGCTTTACCAAAATTATGAATTTCATGGCCCCAGGGTCTCACATTTCCCAGTGGGGAGAGGGTAAAGTTGATGGAATGCATATATTGACACTAGCTTACTATATTCATTGTCACAATTTCTGTTTACCTGATACCTATCCTTTAACCTTTTTAGTCAATATTGTTTATCTCAGGTGACCATCAAGGCCTCTTGTATAACTGAAGTCTGTTTTGAAAGCCTCAAAGTCATTAATCAAAATTAAACTGCTTCTCAATCACTAATATTGACTCAGCTGTCTGCGCCAAAAATAACACAGAAAAGTTTTAATGGATTTCTATGAATGACCTTTAAATTTTCGGACAGTAATCAACAAAGTTATGGCACCCCATATATTAATACCAAAACAGTGTCTGAGTGATATCCTAAGAAATTATCAAATGATCAACTTCAAACTTGATTAGAGATTTAATAAATATGATTTCACGGACAAGGTCAGTGGTCACAATTTTTGGACCATAGAGTTATGGCCCTTCAATTAATTACAGAAACAGAATCTGCTTGATATTGAAAGTAGTTTTTGACAGATCAAACTTCATAGAGATTCATTACTATTATAGTAAGACACATTGGATAATGGCAACTGTCGGTCTGTAATTCATAGAGTTAACGCCCCTTATTTCAATTACCAAAACAATGTAAGTTTGATATCTCAAGTAAATTCGAATGGATACACTTAAAACTTAATAGGGAGGTTCATTACCATTATGGCTGGAGCAAGTTCAATAACCAAAATTATTAGCCTGTTATTTATTAAGTAATTGATGGAACAATAACTTCAGTATTTTTCATGGGTAATCTCAGAATGTTATCGCCATTAGAGCTTGTTGGTTTTCCCAGTTTCCTCCTCTATTACGCAACTGGCACTGTCTGTAAATGACCTTTAAATGTTGATCAGACATGAATCATCACTTTCCTTCCCTTTTCTGTTGTAAACTGATAATACAACCTGTGACTGGCATATCATGTACTTGTGGAACCCTGGTTTACCATTAATATCAGATATAACTGGCATACATGTATAGATATAGATTTCAGTGTTTGTAACTCACAATATGAAAACTTTGACATTCAGTATCAAGTGTTTGATATTAACAGTACCACGGAGTGTATATCTTGGTCTCTTTGATTTACATCAGCTTGTAATCACACCAAGAATATACTGTAAATGTACTTATTATCACCTCCTTATCACTCTTTGACAGATTAGTGCTATGTTGAATTAGTATATTCACAACCGTTTCTAAATAAACAACATACAGAAATTGTTATTATTGGTGTTGTATTTTAAGCACCAGAAGTGCTGAAATGATGTCTCCACTAGATCATGTACATTTACAGAAGTTTGCAATTCATGTCCCTTGTTATGTTTTGATTTTAACATCAAATCCTCAATATTCCAATGAGTTTCAAAGATTTAGAATATGACCATTTTATTATTATTTTTATAGAGTGCATCTGTTCACTATGAATAAAACATATGTAAAAACACAAACAGCTACATACCATGAGTTGATCACGACTGGTGTGCTGACACAATATCTATGTGTTTATATAAAAAAGTTTTTTGTTGTTACTGCTGTAGATCATGTTTAGGAGATCAAGTTTTCCAAATCAATGTGACATTTTCTGGTTGTTATATATACCATTTTGATAACAGGTCATGGCAACGAGCTCTCAGGTCGGCGGTGGAGAGTCCCCAGCCAGATACCAGGTGGTAGACACCAGTCCAGTTGAAAATCCTACAGCTAGTCAAGGTAAATATACCTTTTTTTTTCTGTGGAATGCACATACACTGTACATGTTGTAAACCGAAACTTTGGAAAGGGAGGAATTCAACAGAGATATATTAAATATTGGTTTTTAAATCTCAGTTCTTTTGTTAATGGTGTCATTCAGTATTCTCAATATATATATATATATATATATATATATTCTCATGCTGTTCATTACTATTTCATTCTCACAGCTATGTGTTAAAATACTATTTGTGATGTATATATGTGTATAGTAAGAATGTTGTGATTACTTTTTTTCTTTGAAATGTTCACAAAACATTTTTTTTTTGATGTTCAAAATTACTAAATTTGATTTTGAAATATTGGCAAGGCTGCAAATGGGTCTTTTTCTGTTTGTCACATTTTCCTTTAAAATTCACAGTACAGTATAGTAGCATAATGCATTATGTCATATTTGCCCTGTGATTTGTTGGGATGGAGGCAGTTTTTGGACTCTACTTTTACAAAGTGTCGGAGAGTTCAGTACTATTACAATGAAGAAACTCATGCATGAAATATGGAAATATCAAACTTAATGAAAATTAAAAATGTGCTGTCTCTGTAATTGATAGATCCAACTTGGAAAATGAATGCCGATGCTATTCTAGAGAAGCTTGGAGCCTATGGTCGATATCAAGTACTAGTGTTTGTGTCACTGGCCTTTGTTTATATGAGAGGGGCATGGCCAGTCTTAGGAAGTATTTTTCTGGCCGCTGACCCTGGCCATCACTGCAGAGTTACTAGCAACATGTCCCTCAATGAAACTCTTCCGGGAAAGATTGGTGAGGATGGAATATGGACCCCTGACCAGTGTTCCATGTATGTCCCTGGGAGTGGCAGAAACCAAACACAGAGTTGTAGTGATGGCTGGCAGTACGGGGACCAGTTTGATTCTACTATTCTCACAGATGTAACTATCATGTTCACTTTCCACCTACATGAGAGTCCTGTAATGATAGAGTTAATCATTATCAAATGTTTAAAAAGATGGAGAGAGTGAAACCGTTTTGGTAGATATTATGATCAAAGGAGGGCCATCTTTATCCAACACTAACATTTTCTCGTGGTATTCAATAGAGATACAAAGAAACGCTATTTCATAGCCCTTCAAAAACATCATCCTCTGACTTTGAGTCATCTCTGGTAAAGCAACTGCTGGGGTTATTGGATCAGTACAGTGTTAATAAAACACAATGTAGAGTGAAATGAATACTGATCTAAAGTAACATAAAAAAAACTTTATGTACCTTTCCTCTGTAGGCCATATGTCCCATAAACAATTTTATTATCTTTATTATTTTATGAAATTTAAAGGCATTATAAGAATATATATGAAAGCTGTTTGCAGCCATACTGGATTTTGATCCATGAAGTTTGTAATCACTAATGCGAATATTTTTATTTTCATGGGGGTCAGATTTTCGTGTTTTTACCAAAATGTGCATTTTTGCTGGTAGTTGATTTTTTGGATAAATCTTGTTTTTGAAATCCTCTAGTTTCATGCCAATGTCTATCTATTAATCATATCATGGGTATGTAAAATAAGAGTACACAAAAATTTAATGGCAATAAGTCCCTCACTAAAACCAATGGTTATACAAGTATTTTTCAACGCATTTTAAAATTTTGTGATCATATTCAACATTGGTTCTAGTTGTTCATATCTTTTGATCATGATCAACATTTCAAGATGGCTGTCACTTGAACTTGCTTGCCATTTAGGATTTTGATATGAAGTTTATTCACTGTTGATGTTTTTGTTAATGCAATGGATTGAAAAAAATAATATAAAATTAAGAGAAAAGAGGGAGAAAAAATTAAAAATTCAAACTCACATAGAACTAATGTACAAACAATACCTGTGGTAAGGATGAGGCTTATAGGAACCTGATGTTTAATCTGCTACAGTGGGACCTAGTGTGTGGTGACAGCTACCTGGGAGATCTCTCTACCACCATCTACATGATTGGAAACACATGTGGAGCCCTGCTGCTGACTCCGCTCTCTGACAAGTTTGGTCGGAAGAAATTGATACTGTTCATGCTTTGGATACAGGCTGTGTTTGGTGTGGGGACAGCATTCTCCAATAACTACACCGTCTTCACCGTCCTCCGTTTCTTCATTGCTCTTCTGAACATGGTAACTGTCAAAGCCATCATACATGATCTTGGTGCTGATCTATTGCTAAACAAAACCTATTGCTCTCATTAGCCATTGACAAATTAACAAACAAGTATATTGTTATCCCCTTCTCAACAAAATGACCAAGTGGGTGATGGTTGATCCCTATACAGGTTCTGAACACTGTTTATCTTTGTACATTCTATATATGATGTGTTATGTTGAAACTTGTAACAAAGTTAACCTGAAGCATTTGTATTCAAAAAGATTTGGTTACAATAACACTATAATGGTGATGACCTCTGTTGCAGCCGATAGCTCTGACGACCTATGTAATGATGACTGAAGTCTTTCCTGCTAGATACCGAGCCCTACCGTCAGTGGGTATCAACTGTTTCTGGGGTATTGGCCTCATCTTCCTCGCCATATTTGGATACTTTGTGCGAGACTGGAGACACTTACAGCTGCTGATCTCAATCCCCAACTTTCTCACTGTGATGTATTACTTGTAAGTAAGGGTTTCCTAATCTCCCCACAGTGATGTACTATGTGTAGACATTCCTTTCAAACTTCGTCTCAAGTTCCACCGTTGGGCTTGAGCTCAAACTTCCATGAAATGATCATGAGATGGTCCTGACCAAGTGTTGTTATTTTTTGGGTATGTCAGAAATCTAAGATGGCCACTTTGGCCGCTATCTTGAAAAACATATTTTAAACTTCTTCTCCAATTCCACTGGTGCCATTGAGCTAAACATTGGTGGCAATTTTAAGGAAAGGTAGCCAACAAAATGTTGTTATTTTTTTTACCTTGTCAAAATTTTTGAAGCTGCAGTTAGGGAGGCCATTTTGTAACATGGTTTGCACAATCATGGTTTTCCTGTGCAAAACCTATTTCAAACTTCTGCTCAATTTTCACCAGTTGGGTTGAGCTCCAACTTCACTGTCAAAAAATAAGTAACACTTGTTACAGTAACCTACTCCTCACCAAAACTACCATCTTCATCATTGAAAACAGCTTCTTACTAAGATTTCATTCAAAGTAATAAAAAGAACAGATGGCCATTAAGGCCCATGGGCCTCTTGTTGAGCGTAACATTGGTTATTTCCCAGTGGAAGTAACTTTGTAAGAATTATCTGTATAGGATGTCAGTTTTGATGGCATTCATGTATTGACACTGGCTTACTATATTCAGTGTCACAATTTCTGTGTCATGACCTTTGATAACTTGTTTTACAAAGTTTTTGTTTGTAATCAAAGTGAAAATATGAGTATAAAATATCATTTTTCAGGCATTTTAGGTGAGACCGTATTGAACTTGATTTTACTTTATCGCTATGAGGGCTGTAGAAACTCAGATTTATGGGTGAAATAAGCGTACATTTATTATTGATATGCTGTAGGTAAATATAATGTTTTGTAATATATTCTAGTTTCCTACCGGAGTCCATACCATGGTTGGTGGCCACTGAGAAGTACACTGAGGCAGAGCAAGTCGCTAGAACTGCAGCAAAGGTCAATAACATCACACTTCCTGACTCTCTGTTCTCTGTGGGTGATGAAACAAACACAGAAGAGCAGAGTGACGAGGGATTGGTCAATGAGAGAACACTAGCTAAGAAATACACTCTGTTGGATCTCTTCAAAACTCCAAAACTGAGGCGTTATACCCTCATCCTCTTGTATCTCTGGTGAGTACCATTAAAGAAAAAAAGTAATTTGAGCAAGGGCAGATCAGCAGAGCTGTATGTACTGGTTCAGATTAGAAGGTATATGTTGACTGAGGTTCATGTCAGAAGACATTATATGGACTGGTTCAGATCATAAAGTATTTGCTGACTGGTTCATATCAGAAGACATATGTGGAGTGGTTCAGATCAGAAGACATCTATGGAGTGACTCTGATTAGAAGACATATATGGACTGTGTTAGATCAGATAATATATACGGATTGGTTCAGATCAGAAGACATATACGGATTGGTTCAGATCAGAAGACATACATGGACTGTGTTAGATCAGACGACATATTTGGACTGTGTTAGATCAGAAGACATATATGAATTTATTCAGATCAGAAGGGATTTATCAGCTGGTACAGATATGGAGGGATCACAATAAGTAAATGAGAATAAATATTAGTTGTCTCAACAAATTTGGTTTGAGTGAGCTGGTTCAAGTTTATTATGCAATGTTGATGCACTTGCTGAGATAACAATCAACTGTCAGTTGACTAGTTTAGCTCAGAACAGCTGCTTTATTTTGTGATTAAAATAATGATTGAAAAAAGACAGTGGGTACTGTTCATTAATTATCAAAAATTCTCTCATTCACTTGCAGGGCAGCCAATAGTTTGAGTTACTTTGGTATTTTATTCTCAACACCCAATCTCCATGGCAACTTGTTCCTGAATCTAGGTATCAGTGGAGCAGTGGAGATACCAGCACAGTTCATATGTATGTGGACAATGCAAGTGTGAGTATTGTACAGCTTGAGTAGATTTTAATATTTTCAGTTATATTAATGATTGACAAACTGTTAGAGAATACTTCAGACTTTTCCTAGTGATTGTAGACAAATTTGTGCCAAGATGATTTAACAATCAGTTTTCACAAATCATCTTACAACATATGTTTTCTAGTTTTTAGGTCGCCTGAGCCAAAGGCGTTGTTAACTTTTCACATATTCGACTTCTTCTCAAGAACCACTGAATAGATTTTGACCAAACTTGGCACAAAGCATCCCCATGGGAAGCCGCTTCAAGTTGGGAAGAAAAAGGGCATGGCCCCAATAGGGGCCCCAGGAGGGGGAAAAAGGGGGTAAAATTAGGTAAATCTTTCAAAATCTTCTTCTCATGAACCAACAGTCAGATTAAATTCATATTTGATATTTAGGGTCCTTATGGCATGGTCTACAAAGTTTGCGAATGAAAAAAAAATTGGGCCCATAAGTGGTGTAATAGGGGCCATATGTAGAAACCTTCTTTAAATGACTTCTTCTCAAAAACCAGTGGATGGATTTTGATTAAACTTGGCACAAAGCATCCCCATGGGAAGCCGCTTCAAGTTTGCGAAGAAAAAAGGTGTGGCCCCAATAGGGACCCCAGGAGGGGGAAAAAGGGGAAACTTGATACGAATGTTCTACACAAGGTCCTGGCAAATGTTTTAACTTTTTGGGGTGTTTCAAAATCCAAGATGGCCACCCTGGCCTCTGTTTGGCTAAGATATTATGGACTTCCTCTCAAGAACCATTGGGTGGGTCATGTTCAAACTTGGTACAGATGTTTTACACATGGTCCTGCACAAGTGTTGTTACAGTTTTGCAACATTTTAAAATCCCTAGATTAGTGACATATATTCCTCAGGTGACCGTTAAGGCCCCTTGGGCCTCTTGTTAATTTTATAAGGTATTTATTATTTTGTCTTAATTTGAGACCTTATGGCAACCAAAGGTTTATGATTGACTGTTTATTATGATGTATTTTTAAGGTATGGACGGAGGAGACCTCATATAGTTTTCCTACTTTTGTGTGGAATTATGAATATTACTACAATTTTTGTTCCAGCAAAAACAGGTAAAAATAAACATATCATCTTTTTTATACAGTAAAAAATAAAATGAATTCAAGGCAGATTTATATTGATTATTGTGTATGTTTTCATGTAATAAAATGTAATAAGGCAATGATAGGAACACTAATGATAATGGTGCAGTGTGAGCGGTAGAGGTCTTCAATAATAGTGGTTGTATGTAGAGTGAGGACCAGTTAGAAAATTAATTATGGATGTTAGGCGATACAATGATTCATTTCTTGAAAAGCCCAAAGTTAATGCACAAAACATTTTGCAGATTCTGGAACTGACTTATCTCCCCTGATCATATTTCTGGCCATGGTGGGAAAGTTCGGTATAACAGCTTCCTACTCTGTGGCTTATCTGTACGCATCTGAAATTTTCCCTACTGTTGTCAGGTGAGTTCTAACTTGTATTACTAGTTCAGATCATAACTGTCATTTTATTTACATAAAAGAGGAACTTGGAAACCTAGCTCTTTTACACTTTTCTCATGAAAGCACATCAATATCACTTTGGTCACTGTGAAAGTATAACACCCCTGACTCCCTATTGATGTCACTATAAAGGCAAGTATGTTCAGTGAAATACTTTCTTTATTTTTTTGTGCTTATTTGTTTCTCTTCTGATGGTCATTATTTGTTTGAGACAACAAACCATTTTTACAGTATACACTGGTTCTACATTTAGAAATCTCATTTCTGAATACTTAAATTAAATAACATGCTTTGATGATGTTTTTAATTATCAAAGTTTACATGTTTGATGATGTTTTTAATTATCAAAGTTTACATGTTTGATGATGTTTTTAATTTTCAAAGTTTAAATGTTTAAATAAATACACTTTATTTGGTATATTTTTACTCCAATATGTCCTTCAAAATTTGTATTACAGAAATCATGCTATGGGTCTGGCTTCATTCTTTGAAAACATGGGTGGAATTGCAGCTCCACTCATTGTATATGCTGTAAGTATTTATCGCTACTGAACTTGTCTTACAGAAGTTATCATTACCAGGTAGAAACATGAATGATTGTGCTCTGGGTTTAACTTCACCAGGCAGTATTCATTTTTGTAAGAATTCCACAATATGGCCTGTAAGTGTCTCTTAAGCAACATGATCACACATTTGTCTCTAATAATGTACCTGTTGCTTATGAATCATAAATTCTGTGTTGCATAATTTTTGTCAGATATCACGTCGTGAGGTAAATTTTGTCAGAATTTTAGCATTACACTCACACGTTTCAGCTGACAGCACAGGTAACATCCAGCAGCTGTTTATCATAATGTTGATCTCTTTTTCTTAAGACTGTTAAATTGTTGAATTTTCTTTCTTGGTCTGTTTCCAAAATATGTAACGAAAAGATATGGCTGTTTTGATATCACATTCTTCATCAGCACTTGACCAAGTATGAAGCCTTATGGGGTTGTGACTGATGTGTAATATCAATGTAGTAAGATACAATGTGATGACCTCTAATAAGTACACACTGTTGTAGGCGACCAGTGACACTATGAAGAAGCTACCCCTAGTCATATTTGGTGTGATCACCTTGGTTGCTGGAATCTTGTGTTTCTTCCTTCCGGAAACACACAAATGCCCGCTGCCAGAAACGATCGAGGATGTAGAAAAGTTTACAAAGAAAAGACACAAACAAGACTCGGATGATACTGATAAACATGATGAAGATGGTACACGGCTCTGAAGATTTTCTAGAGAAGAAATTAATCTTCATCTGTTTATTATCATGATTTCTGGTGGATGAAGTGCCTTCTAAGTAGGATTTGATGGATTCTTTGGGTTAGACTTCATCCAAGGAGATCTCGTTTCCTTGATATGATATGCCTAACAGCTGAAAATCAAAGAGAGCTTTCTACCATAGCAAAGATATTTAGAGAATATGCATCAACTTTTAAAGTATTTTGATGATGGTGTGCTATTTGTGATTCAATTAACTTTATGTTAATACTTAACAATATTTACTATTTTCTAGTGCATATTTGTGTTTCAAATGCATATCTGTGCCACAATTCTACTTAACTATTTCCAATGCATATCTGTGCCACAATTTAACTTTAACAAAATATTATTTTTCGTGTGGAATTAATTCAGAAATAAGTGCTGAATTAGGATTTACAAAATCATTATATTACTGCTTGAAGAACCAATGACGGTAGTTACAAGTTCAGTATATTGTTTTTTGTACGTAGCAAGAGTTGGAACGGGGAGGGGATGGCATGAATGTAATAATATCTTGGCTTATAGTTGGTCGGTTTAGCGCAAGAAATTTATCATAATCTCACGATCACACATTTACTCTGTAATCTGAAATAGCTTTTTATAGGAGTAATTTATGTAATAACTGAGTCTTCCATACTGAAATCTGTTACATGTAACATGATATGCAGAGGTACAGCCTTTTTTTCCATGGTGTGTCGAGTTGCATAGAGTTGCCAGGTTTGTATGTGAAGAAAGACGACAAGCTCTTACAGATGTCTTTTATTTTTGCTAATTATGTCAAAAGTATAAGTCTATTGATGTGGAAGCTGAACTATATGTAGATTGCTTGATTTATATTTTCATTGAAGTGTCATATTGATTTTATTCCATATGTTCCTGTTTGGAATAATAAAAAAAACATAGGGTAGATTTTAAGTGATGATGGTATTAGGAATGTGTGATGTACATATTGTAAGTAAAACATTTGCATAAAGATGGATTGATTGTGAATCAGTTGTTACTGAAAACCATTGTACTTGATATTTGAATGTCTTATTGCATTTTGTGTTGTATAATGATATTATTAATTTTAGGAAATGCATGTTGATTTTATGTTGTACAGCTGTAAGAAGAAGTTGTTTTGATATAATCGGAGGCATTCGCTTTGTTTTATGATTGAATTGTTTTATTTTGTTGAAGTGCTACTTACCTGGTAGTTGTATTTTGTGTTGTATAATGAAATTGTTGATCAGAGGTCATAGAACTGCGTATCAATTTGATATTGTACAGCTGTATTTGGGAAGAAGGGAACACATAGATTTAATAAGATGTAATCAGAGATTTTGTTTTTTGTAATTTGTTTTTATTCTATTTTCATAGAATTTTTGGTAATAAAGTGTTACTTAATAAAAGTAGCTCACTCTAGTCTGTACTTCAAACTTTGACCTATAACTGTCACTGTGTCCATTTACTACTGTAAAAATCTTGTGGTTGGAAAGAGGGTTACAAAAGGAATGGATCAGATTATTCTGAGGTTTTCATTTCTTTGCCAATGAAGATATTTTGTGAATGTGGCATATTAAGGAGAAGTAGGTCAATGAAGGCCACATTTCATACGTTGTTCTCTATCACTGTCACAATTTCAACACTGTTAGAACTAGTGACACAAAAACTCACATATTCTGACGGGGATGATTGTCATCTTCTGAACTAAACGTTCATGTATAACTGATGTATTATAGCTGATCAGCAGTGAAATGTCTTCTGTAAGCCTTCTGAAAAACTCTGTGCACATGTCGAAAAAGAGGGGAAAAGGAAGATTTTTCCTTCTTTATACCATCTTTGTTCTTTAACTTCTACAGATATATGTCTATAATACATTATTAAAAATTATAACTGTTATGTATGTGTCGTTTAAACTCTACCTGTGAGTCTAAAGTCCTCTCTGTTTCATTCTCTGTAAGTTACTTTATCACTTTCCTGGACACTTCTGTGACTGAGTTATTTGAAGAGTGAAAAACCAAATTGTCTTAATTATAATCTTAGCTAAAAACATACCTGGTATATAACATATGTGTTTTCTTCAATTTGATGCATTTTTCATTTATAACTTCACTGTTAACATCATTTTATATCAGTGATAGCTAGAAAGCTTAATAAAAAGCTGTAAAAATTGTCATCAGTGTAGCTCTTACAAGCTTGTTGATGATATGTACTTTGTAAGACGTGATAATGAAAAATCACTCAATATCATGTATTATGAAAAACTTTAGTGTTCCTATGAATGAAATTGACAATCTTTACAGGTCATATCTCAGACTTTCTATTTTTATGAAATTAAGTAACTGACAAATGTGTTGTGTGTTATATTAATTAACTCACTAACTTGAAGGCATGACACAGTATTCATCTTCAACTTTTCCTTTAAACAACTTCTTCTTAAGAACTATTACATGGATTTTAGCCAGATTTGGTCTAAAACACCTTCATGGAGAAGGGGATCTAAATTATTAAAGAGAAGTTGATAAGGCTGAGATGCAGGGCCCAAAATGGGAAGGTAGGGTTAGTTTCTTCTTCAGATTGAAAAAAAAGTCCATATTGTGTGTGGTCAAACCCAGGAGTTAAACATGGATGATAATGGGTATTATGTAAGCAACAAAGAAAAACATAGCATTGACATTTCTTATTTAGAAAGCACAAGAGGTGAAGATTTTAATTTGTTAATATCATATCCCTGGATCCATAAATGTGGTGGCAGTAAGGGGGTTGAAATTCAACATAGAATATTTCTGCCAGATTTCAGTTATAGGCAAAGGGAGACATCCTATTCAGTAAATTATGATTTTTTTACTTTTTGCGTTCAGTTAAATCATTTACTTTACGATGTACTATTGCCAATCATGTATGATTGTATACTTATGTAATATGTATGAACTTACATGTACATATGTGTCATCATTACTTTAAACATTTACATGACTCAGTAACAGTTATAAGTACATGTACATGTAAGTTCATAGCCACATGTTGTGTTTACTAGCAAAAAAATTGATGCACAAACTGGCATATAATTAAAAAGTAATCAAGGGACATAACTTTTGAATCACTTTGTTTTGATGAATCACTTATATTCTCCCTCATTAATTTACATTATGGGTACATAAATGTAATGTCTTATTATTTGGCCAAACCTGATTTTCTGATGGTTAAATGGTGGACATAACAACTCCTTCTCGGAAACCAGGTAAGCAATAACAACCCTATGGGCCTCTTGTAATATAATGATCATGTCAACCCTTAAATGTAATTTTGATGTTTTGTTTATGAATGTATGTTACCCTATTATAGTAATATATTGAAAATATATACCACTCGGGTACAGTAACCAGTTATAAATAAGAGTCAAATTAAATGGTGCACATGAAGGAATCTGAAATGGGCATACATTGTATTTATTTAATTTTCATTAGAAAAATTAAAAAAAAAAAAAAATGAGAGGATATGTTCAATGGGTCGAAAATGGATTCTTGTTTCATAGAAGATTGATGAAACAAGTTGTGCATTTTTAGTTTAGTTTGCCAGGAAAGGTTCTTAGATTTATTTTGTTTATATCACATGGAACAAAATTTCCAGGTGCTATCTTCACTAGCCGCTAATGTTGTTATCATAATATAATTGTAAGGCATAATAACAGTTATCAGTACAGTCTACTGTCTGTTCATTACCCTCAAGTTCTGCAATGTTACACTGACAGTACATTATATTACTTGGTACTAGATATTTTTTGTGTGTGTGGAATAAATTGGTAAATGAATGGTATTGTGAAAGTTGAATCATCAATAAATAAAACCCATCTCATGATTTATTTAAAAAATACATCCTATTTACTTCAAACTTTTTGTAAAACCACAAAAATTTGAACCTTACACAAATAAATGATGAGTATTGAGTACATCAGTCTGGCAGAAGCAGTTTCTACAATTACAGAATGATGATTTGTTAGCCATTATAATAATTATACTCTTCTGTGAATGAAGTGTAAATTGGGTATATGTCTTTAAACATAGAATTATGTTATTTTATTTGCAGTGGTTAAAAGTGTGAAAATAAACTTGAAATCTAGTATATATGGCCATTCTTTGAAAATATTGGATTAGAACCAATGTCGATATTCACTAAATTATACTTCTACAGCAGCGTTTGGGGTATATTTGCATGGAAAAATTTATCTGACAATACCTGGGGAAAAAAAATCAGTGCATATGGGAGTTATGTCCCTTGTCAATATCCTTTTAAAAAAAAATCTTTGATGTGTACATTCAAATGGGGCCTTATCAATTTGATTTGTTTGTGATTGATTTGTTTGTTTGTTAGTTTTCCTTGGAGGCTTTATCTATTTTATGTATGTTTTCCCTATAAAATTTTATTTGGTTTTATGTATGTTTCCCCTATAAATTTTATTCAGTTTTATGTATGTTTCCCCTATCAAATTATATTCAGTTTTATGTATGTTTCCCCTATCAAATTATATTCAGTTTTATGTATGTTTCCCCTATCAAATTTATTCAGTTTTATGTATGTTTCCCCTATAAAATTTATTCAGTTTTATGTATGTTTCCCCTATAAAATTTATTCAGTTTTATGTATGTTTCCCCTATCAAATTATATTCAGTTTTAGGTATGTTTCCCCTGTAAAATTTGTTCAGTTTTATGTATGTTTTCCCTATAAAATTTATTCAGTTTTATGTATGTTTCCCCTATAAAATTTGTTCAGTTTTATGTATGTTTCCCCTATCAAATTATATTCAGTTTTATGTTTGTTTCCCCTATCAAATTTATTCAGTTTTATGTATGTTTCCCCTATCAAATTTATTCAGTTTTATGTATGTTTCCCCTATAAAATTTATTCAGTTTTATGTATGTTTCCCCTATAAAATTTATCCAGTTTTATGTATGTTTCCCCTATAAAATTTATTCAGTTTTATGTATGTTTCCCCTATAAATTTTATTCAGTTTTATGTATGTTTCCCCTATCAAATTATATTCAGTTTTATGTATGTTTCCCCTATCAAATTTATTCAGTTTTATGTATGTTTCCCCTATCAAATTATATTCAGTTTTATGTATGTTTCCCCTATAAAATTTATTCAGTTTTATGTATGTTTCCCCTATAAAATTTATTCAGTTTTATGTATGTTTCCCCTCTAAAATTTATTCAGTTTTATGTATGTTTCCCCTATAAAATTTATTCAGTTTTATGTATGTTTTCCCTATAAAATTTATTCAGTTTTATGTATGTTTTCCCTATAAAATTTATTCAGTTTTATGTATGTTTCCCCTATAAAATTTATTCAGTTTTATGTATGTTTCCCCTATCAAATTATATTCAGTTTTATGTATGTTTCCCCTATAAAATTTATTCAGTTTTATGTATGTTTTCCCTATAAAATTTATTCAGTTTTATGTATGTTTCCCCTATAAAATTTATTCAGTTTTATGTATGTTTCCCCTATAAAATTTATTCAGTTTTATGTATGTTTCCCCTATAAAATTTATTCAGTTTTATGTATGTTTTCCCTATAAAATTTATTCAGTGTAATGCTTCTTACACTCTAAGTAGATCCTTATTTAACTTGGTTCATATGATCAACACTTTGTTATGATTTTTCGTTGCATTGAAGTTGATGATTATATGCTGATGTTTCTTGTAGATCCTTATTTAACTTGGTTCATATGATCAACACTTTGTTATGATTTTTCGTTGCATTGAAGTTGATGATTATATGCTGATGTTTCTTCTTAAGATATTCTGTCTGGCCACCGTTTGACAACACTTGCTTTCTTTACTGTATCATCACTCTCTGATGTGTGTGAATTGTAATAATAAATACTTTGAGAGATCTCATCAAGGACTTACTCTTTATTACGTCTAAACCTTCAAGCACTATATCGTTATGAAAACTTACTTAGTATTGACAATCAAGCATTCTTAATGATTGGTTCCAACTTTGCTCATTGTCAGTATAAGTGGACTGCCATGCTCATTGTCAATATAAGTGGACTGCCATGCTCATTGCCAGTATAAGTGGACTGCCATGCTCATTGCCAGTATAAGTGGACTGCCATGCTCATTGTCAATATAAGTGGACTGCCATGCTCATTGCCAGTATAAGTGGACTGCCATGCTCATTGTCAGTATAAGTGGACTGCCATGCTCATTGTCAGTATAAGTGGACTGCCATGCTCATTATCAGTATAAGTGGACTGCCATGCTCATTATCAGTATAAGTGGACTGCCATGCATCACAACGATAAATTCATGTATAATGAATTGACTCTGAAGAGCTTCACTAATAGGGACTCAATTTTGGAAAATTAACAGTAATATCATATGATATGCTTCAATAAAGCTGTTACTTCAGTGACTTTAAAATATGTTGATATTAGACTACTGTAGTTTCTTCACAAGGAGGAATGCCTCATTGCTACTGGCACCAACTCCTTACTGATTTGCTAAAACATGTATATGTACCAGGAAATTGACATTTTTATTGTACCCAGCTTGGAGTGGACTTGTTTCTAACTTGTTCTTTATTTTCTGAGTTTTGTAAGGTTTGTAGCTAAGTTGTGTGTATGTACCTATACAGCCAATGGAGTACTGCATATTCATTGGTATCATCAGCAGAGTCCATCAGTTTCCACCTTTGTCCCAGAACATACTAATACTGGTGGTCGACAGAGGTGATTAATTCTTGGCCTGTCAAGGGATGGCTTCCTGTCTCTGTCCTCCCATCTGCTCCACAGCATGCATGATGCATGTTCTACAGCTTCAGCTAATCTGTGCGTTGCCATCTTATGTGTTTTCCCGAATAAACCAAAAGCCTGTAGTGTCCTCCAGACTGGGTATGCTGGGAACCCTCTGTATCCTACTTCTACAGGAAACAGTCAGGTACTCCACCCTCACTCCCTACACCGTTTCATAAGTTCTGCATTCTTGGCTCTTTTCCTCTCTCCTGGTTGCACCACTAATCTCATGGTACAGTTAGCTTGATGACTAAAATCTGCCTGGATTTGGTAGACCATATCACCACATCCAGATGTAATGTCTGCACAGCATCCAGAAGCACTAGTTTCTTCCCTAGGTCCACTCTCATACCCCATAACTGTGCCTTCCCTTGCTCCCCTGCTTTTATAAATCATATAAATAATGGTTTGTGCCTTTTCTGCAGTCTCTTCTTCTTTCTTTCCACTTCAGAAATGTCTGCTAATTTCTGAATCACCTGGAAGTGCCTCCACTTGTACTGACCCTGTGTTAGCAAGGTCTTGCATGTTGATAGGATTTGTCACGTGGTCCCACCTTCTTGGCAAAGTAGGCACTTCAGCTCTTCAACTACTCCCCACTGGTCAAGGTTTGCTGGTGATGGTAGAGTGTCAAAGACAAAGTATTGGAGTGGTATTTCTAAAACCTTTTTTCAATAAAGTTTTCCCCCCAGACAAAGACCAGTATGTACCTGGGATTGGGTTTTCCAAAGTACTTTTAAGGATATAGCTGGTGAACAAAAAAACCCATTACACTGATGATTTGCCAGCAGGTATCCTGGGTTGATTGCTATAGAGTGTTATCAAATATATGACCTTGACCTCATTGGAAAGTCACAATGGGCTCAGATTTGTTAAAAAGTTCAAATGGCTTTTCTGAAAATCCTGAGTATAAAAAGTGATCATTCTTGTAAACAAGCAATGTAATTTCTGAATAATATACATTCAATTTGTTGATTACCTTAACCTTATGGTTTTTCATTGATACCATGTCCAAGGTCAAATACATGTAAAATAAATAAACCCCTTCTGAAAAAAAAATCAGGCCTTTTTCTATCACAATTATTTTAGTTTGTCAAAACTAACTGGTTCCCACAAGATGACAATTCAACTTTAATGAACCACTGCTGAGTGAATTTTGATCCTGGTCTGTGATTCTGTGTGCAATATGACGAGACAGTTTTGATGGTAAGATTGACACTTACTGGATGATGATGGAAGTGATACCTGTTTTCAGGCTAGATGGTTCAAAGGTCAGCATGTAACAGAAAGAAACATGTACACCCTCAAAACTATTGTGTAACCACACACTTCACTTTTACAACAATTTAACCTATAGTTGTGAATGTGACTGGTAACTTCACAGAAATCCAATGATAACAAATACACTTTATTGCTCAGAATGGATGTCATCCCCAGTTGGGAAGTCAAATAATTGTCACTGACTTAGGCTTTAATTGTTTTTATTTGCAGAAACTGCTCATTTAAATTAATGTTAAGAATCATGCAAGTAGTGTCAATATGCAACGATAAATTTCATTATTATTTATAATTTATTTTTTGTTTTGTTTGTGCTGATACAATCGGAAATTTTTATTAAACGAAAGCAGGTAAAAACCTTTTTGACTATATAACTTCCGGTTTGGCCAGTCTAATGGTAAGACGCCAGTTTGTTGTCGTTTCCGGTGTCATGGCTGACTTGGTTACGAATGGCACCTGTTTATAGCATCATTATTCCTAATTTTGCATGCGAAAACGTTTCTCATTTTCAAAATACCTTAAGATAATATTTTTATGACACCTTTTGATTATTTTGACTGAATCTTAACGCTAGTCATGCCCGTTTACTTGAGGAAAAACGTCAACTTCACGCCGCCATCGCTCGATCATATTCCTGTTGAACAAGAAGATGATTATGTTCAAGATCCGGAACAGCTCAAGGATCACTTGCCTCAGCCGTATCGTATGCTGGACAAAGTGTTGAATAAAGTATTCGAAGATGCATGGGCTATCATTGAACAGAGAGAAAACGCTGCTTTGGAAGAAGCTCGAAGATTTAAGCCACCACAGTTCGATTATGAAGAAGAAATTGAGGTAAACCTGCTATAAAAATATTACTTTAATCATTGATAGAGAAAGAAAGGCATGCCATAACCAATGTTTCTTCTGAGCTCAACATCAAACATCTGTCCATCAAAATCAATAATGTCTGGTGCTCGGATTCGTGGAAACTGGAGATGCCTCGTACAGTAGGCTACGTCAATGGAAATACGAATTGTTCATAACAATTTATCCAACTAATTCTTTCACGTGCAATACGATGTCCACGTTGTGTTTCTGTTCATTTGCATACCTATAGTTTGAAACACACATATCAAGTTTTACAGAATATATACAACTATAGAGAAAAATACTCCAAGCAGCTACAAATGTATATAAGATATATAGTGATATTTTTTTCTTAACTTGTTTAGAAACCAAGCACCTGTGCTATAAGGCTAGGATCCAAACAGCAACAACCTAGAATTAAAAATGTGTAATGTAATGGATATAGACTTGGTAAATAGGGCTAATGAGTCAATGAATGGTATATGTACATGTGTAATAAGAAGAAGTAATGAAAAACACCCTGCCACCTCTTGGGTTTGATCTAGTGACCCTTAAGTCTCTCGCCAGACACTTTACTACTCGACTAAAGGGAAATCCCCGCTAGCAGAGGCTAGTAAGGCGACCTGTACTCTCAACTTCTACACATCTAAATGCAGTCTACTTGTTAAGAGGCAATAGGAGATTGTATATACTTGATGAAGCTTGAATGCAAGTCTGGTATATTGCACTTTTAATGTCCAGTAAATCATTAATCCGAATTGACTTGTTAAATACAGTAACAGTTGAAGTGGTTTGAATGTCAAGATTAAACCATTTTTATTATGTCAGATTTAATCTATATTCATTCTGGTTCTAATTCTAAAGAAATGTACTCCATTGTTCCTAAGGTGCTTGGTGGAGCAACGAGCATTACCTGTAGTAGTGATGGAAAGATTGTGTTTGTGGGACTGCCAAATGGAATAGCTGTCATAGATTCTGTTACTCGCAACAGGATTTGTGCTTGGGAAGAAGAAAAAATAGAAATCATCCGCTTGAAGACATACCCTATTGCAGAGAGCATGTATCTGATAGTAAGCCTTGATGATATGGGTGAGTGATAATTACCTAGATCATCTCTACATCTTGATATATATATCACATAAAATACAAAACATTTTCTTTTTAAAATGGTAACAATCTATTGTATTGAGGCATATGCTGAAGTAGTTACTTTATATAAGCAATACACTCACTGTTCAGTTTTATGATGCAGCATAGCAAGTTTTTTACATGTACATTTGTGTCATTATTCAGAGTGATAAACACTAAAATATTTCATTTCATTACGCAGATTTAATAAAACGTAACTTTGATCTCATTGGTGGTTACCTAACTGTTGTGTATTTTTTTCAGGTCTAGCTAGACTTCATGCTTTTGCTGGTGAAAGACTGTTCCTTCTGAAGTTGCTAAATGAAGCACAGGTAAATCAGTCTATAATGCTATTATCTTAACGAGGTCAAATTAAATTACCAGTTATCAATGTCTTCTCTGTAAATACCTGATACAGGAAATTCTAACCCACAACAGAGTCAAAAGGATCTAATCACCAACTGATTACTCCATGTTTCTTGTAGAATGGATAATTTCCTAATAACATGGGTTGCGTTTCTCTTAATAATGTGAAACCAGTAAGTGATGCATGTATGCATATCTAACATGTTTTGAAACAAATGAAATAAAGCTATTTTTTCATACATTTTTCTGCAATAAGCACATTCCCTATGAGTCAAAGTTAATTCTATGTTTATTACAGAGTAGAACACTTAAAAGGCTTGTGATTTATCTGAAACATTTACCGTACAATCTGATCTACAGAGACAAAGGGCAATATTTATCCCTTACCAAACAGTATGCAAAACATTAGGACAGGGATTTCAAAGAAAGTTTAGGAGTTTACCAAAATTCTAAATTTAGAAGTAGTTACATCATTTGATCAAATTAGTTTTAAAAGAATGAGATATATTGAAAAAATCAGTACAAATAATACATAAAGAGGTGCTTAAATGTTGACTTAGAAAGAAAAAAGTTTTCTTTAGAAATTTCAAATGTATACATGTATGTTATCGGGGAAATTTTCATTGTGGATTTCCTTGTAATTTGTGTGTAGATCCTTTCATTTTTAATTGAATACAGTGTTGTGTTTCCTGATACTTTTACCCAATGCCTGATCCTGATTCACATGGTTGCTACAATATGGTTTACTCTCTGTATTAGGGTAACATATTGATGCACTTCACTTTTTTATTGTTACCAAAATATGATTGGATCAAAGCATCCTGTCACCATTTTTGTTGACAGATATTTAGTTTGTTTAATTTCTGATGTTCTGAATTCCTCTTTTTTTTTCATAAAGGAGATTTTAGCACCAGTAAGTTTGTGTGTCCAAATGGAATTGTGTCTTGCAAAATTAATTGATATTTCAATGATTCTTGTTCATAACATAAAATATCTTGTGATAAATAATTTTTGTACCAACAATATCATAAAAACAATAGGAAACATCACTAAAGAGGGAGAAAGTTTTCTTTTAGTAACTATAAATAAATATGAATATGTAAGCATCATACTTTAATGTTGCATAATTCAATACTGATGAAATTTTCAAAAATCCAAACTGTAAATATGATGGGTTGGTTATTTTCTTTTCAACATAGAAATATTTTTCAATTAGTTCATAGCCATTTTATTATAATCAGTTTGAAACAAAGTATTTACCTATAATGTAATATACATTTTTGTGTCTTTTTTAAGGAACCAGTTGAAACACCTGTAAGTTTATGCAATGACCTAAGTGTACATTCTATTTATTGTTGAAGTACATTTTACAAACATTTTTAGTGATCCTTTTCATGAAATAAAGTGTGGTTTGCCTTTTTTTCCAAAATAAATTTTGTTTAATATTCAACATATTTTTGTTTACACTTGCAAAAGAGATCGTAATATCATTATGATGATATTACATTCATTTTGTGCCGCCCAATAATAATATGTAGTAACACGTAAACTAAAGAACATGAAAAATTATCATATTTTAATTGATTTTTGATTTTTAAAAAAATCTGTGTTTTATTTTATCTAATTAAAAGGACGGTGTTGATGCAGTAAGTGTATTTCCAAGCATGCCTTTCTTCACCTTGTTATATTCAGTAAATTTATTAACCATAATGATCAATTTACATCATTAAAATTCCAATTAAAGTATTTTAAGCATTAAATGTTTTAGTATCCATGACTCTTTACCCTAATGCTACCATGTGGATATCACATGATCTCATTCAAGGCATGATACATCCATTCTGAATAAACTTTACACTGCCTTTTCCAAATAAAGGAAGTTGATGCATGTCATATTTGTATCTTAATAAAATTGATAATTTTGCCTGCTCACCTAAATAAGAACATCCTAAGATTATAAAATCACAAAATTGGATATCTCACATTACTGACTGAATCTCTGGGAAACTAATTAGGTTACATAACAGTCACTTGATCACTTCTATATCTATGGTATGTATGTAACTTATGTTAGTATTTAACTATTGTCGTTGAATCTTATTATAGGAGTTACTAGAATCGGTAAGTCAGCTGACGGGAGATCACTTATGAAACCTGATCTCCTGGTTGCCATGGTGAAAAGATGCTATATTTGTTTTTGTATTTTTTATGTCCTTGGAACAGCAGGGTTGTTTCCAAAATGTTAAATCAAGTATTAATAATTTCTGGAATCGGGTAGAAACTGGTTTAAGTTTGTTTGTGGGTTTTTTTATCATCAATTTGTTATACATACACTTATGTACAAGAATGTGTGTTTATTAAAAAAAATTAACCGAGAAGTGGTGATGTTTGTTTCATTAAGATAAACAGCTAACACCTAATTGAATTTGCTACTTTAAAATTAGTCAGTTTAGTATTTGTTAGCAGCGATAATGAATTAATTAATTGTAATTGCTTTAGTTTGGTGGATAACACTTTGTTACCATTTGTATTTACTATTGATTGTTGTGAAAGGTGTTTATATCGATGTTTCTATATTTAGCAGATTTGTTTATTTCAGACACCAAGAAGCACACATTTCATAATAGCTTTTGTTGCTTCTCTTTATATATGTCTTTGAAGTTAAAAGTGCCTTTAAATTTTTGCACTCAAAAACTTAAGACACTATTTCTTTTCACTTTTCATATTGAACATCTTAAACCTTGTTAAGAGCACTATTCTTAATTTCCATACAGACACATAACTTTTTTTTCTTTGAAAGGATTTGGTATATATATTGACCCTGTATATCTGAGAAAAGTAGTGAGAGTATGATTATAACTGCTTTATATGTGTATAAATGATATTGTTTACTGAAAATGAATAATATCACATTACTTTAGTATGTTGTCAGATAAAGCAGAGTAGATAAATTTTCTAATAGAGAAATTAGAGATGAATTGATATTGAAGATTATCATTGGAGAAGTATACTGTTTTTTGTACTAAATTGTTCCCGAGAATTTGACAGGAAACTCAATATCCAAGGAAAATGGAGGGCTGACCACCAAATACTGATCTAATGGTTATAACATAGACAGTCTGTTGATTGATAATTGATAGCCATATCTATGTCAGCCTAAGGATATTCAATTGATAGCCCATATTTCACAGCCTGTTAGTGCTTAATTTATAGTCATAACTTTGCCAGCATGTATGTGTTAAAATGGTGGCAGGCTTTTTTTTTTTTTTTTTTTTTTTACATCTTCAGGAATGGGGCTCATACCTGGAAAAAAGATTAGGAAAAAATGAAAAATATGAAGGTTTTGTCCTTGGGAAAGGGGCCCATATTTGGCCCTAAATCCTACCGAAGAAAAGCCCAGATGATCATATCTTTGACAGTCTGAAACTCTTTATTTGGTGGCCCTTCATTTCACAAATGAATAATATTCAGTTAGTTGGTTCTGAACCTTTGACAGTCTTTAAATATTTCATTGATGACCCTAAATGGTTTTTGTCAGTGTGTCAGTATTCAGTTGATGATCATACCTTTGTCAGGCAGTAAATATTTAATTACTGGCCATATTTTGATAGTTTTTTCATATTTAATTGATGGTCATATGTTTAACAGCCTGCCAATATTGAATTGGTTGTCATGCTGGTCGTACATTTGACAGTCTGTTTATATTTGAGTCATTGTCGTTAAGCCTTTGCCAGTATTAAAATTTAATTAATGGTCATACCTTTAACAGCCTAGGACAAAAAATGTGGTGAGTCGAGTAAGTGTAAGTATTGTGATATTAGTCAGAGCTGGACTAGGTGCTTATTTGTGGCCTTTTATGTGTCCAAACAATTTTTACATCATATAAAGTTTGGAAAATGTTGAATATTTTTATGATTCATCATCAATTATACATTGAAAAACTCCACTTGAGTGACAATCTCAACAACCCTAAAATAGGTTTTAAGTAAAAGATACATGTACATATATATAAAAAAATCCTTGTTTGTAGGTTATGATAAGAATCTCAGCATAATTATACCAAATATAGAAGATATTTACTGTTTAAATCAAGGTCAAGGTCAATTTATTGTTTAAATCAAGGTCAAGGTCACAGATCATACACTGTTACATATAATGAATAGTTTTGAGTCATTTGCAAGTCAAGGTCACAGGTCAGAAAGTGTTACTTAGGAAGCAGTCATTGAGTCACAATATACAGGTCAAGTTCAGAGGTCGTATGAGTCTTGTGAAGACCATGATTGTTTCCTCTCAATGTAATAGTATCTTTTTTCTTATTCTTGAACCAGTGACATTTTTCTTAATAAACTCGTTTGGATTTGAGATAAAAATGTAGTCAACAGCCTTAATTAAACATTAATATGATAAAGTCTAGAGAAAATTACAAGTCTTGCTTTTTGTCATCTGTTTTCACCATTTTTGGTCAAAAAATAGCTGTCGGTTGCTGTGTGTTTGGCTGCGACATAGTTTGAAGTCAATAAGACAATTTGTGGCTATAGCTGTGAATGTTTCTTGTTGAAGACTGCCATTTCAGATAAATGAGAATTAATAATAAGTTTATGCCATTGCTTGATAAGTTTGAACACACTAAGAACGATATAATTCTAAAAAAAAAATAGTTCTAAATATTCCATGGTGTTGAGGTTACACAAAAAACAATTTTACAATATGGTCACTGTAGTGGAATGTCATTGGTAAACTGCTTTGAGATATTTGCCTGTATGAACTGTTGAGAAATATGTTTGATGTCAAGTATTTATTTATCTTTGTAAAAACTCATTATCAGTTTTGTATTGAGATGTCATTGTTCTTTGCTTTAGGAGGAAAAGTCTTCAACACGACTACTGATACATAAGTGTGAGGCATCTGCTGATGGGGAATATCTCGGCTCCCTGGTGGAAAGTAAGCTTATTTGTTCATTCACATCTGACTGATAACAAAAATGAGGTCTTAAATATCACAAAAAATTTCCCAATTTATTTTTTTTACAAGATGGAATTGTTCAATTCATGATTCTTGGATTTGAATATTGATGTACTGTTTAAGTTTTATTTAAATTTTTGTTGTGAAAAATATAATACTTGTGTAAGTAAGGTTAAGGATGGGTAGTAAGGTTAAAGTTTTACACTAATATCATAGAGGAATTTTTTATTTATTTATTTTTTTTGCCCAAAAAAAAACAATTCATACAAAATTCTGTAAGAAACTTCTATTATTTTCTTCTACCCTATACCTTTGTTGAAATCGTAGGGGTAGACTGAGGGGATTCTGTTAGAGAGTTGAGGGTTGGTAAATTGTAGAGGCAGATACAAGGGGTTTCTGTTAGAGAGTTGAGGGTTGGTAAATTGTAGAGGCAGATACAAGGGGTTTCTGTTAGAGAGTTGAGGGTTGGTAAATTGTAGAGGCAGATGCAAGGGGTTTCTGTTAGAGAGTTGAGGGTTGGTAAATTGTAGAGGCAGATACAAGGGGTTTCTGTTAGAGAGTTGAGGGTTGGTAAATTGTAGAGGCAGATACAAGGGGTTTCTGTTAGAGAGTTGAGGGTTGGTAAATTGTAGAGGCAGATACAAGGGGTTTCTGTTAGAGAGTTGAGGGTTGGTAAATTGTAGAGGCAGATACAAGGGGTTTCTGTTAGAGAGTTGAGGGTTTGTAAATTGTAGAGGCAGATACAAGGGGTATCTGTTAGAGAGTTGAGGGTTGGTAAATTGTAGAGGCAGATACAAGGGGTTTCTGTTAGAGAGTTGAGGGTTGGTAAATTGTAGAGGCAGATACAAGGGGTTTCTGTTAGAGAGTTGAGGGTTGGTAAATTGTAGAGGCAGATACAAGGGGTTTCTGTTAGAGAGTTGAGGGTTTGTAAATTGTAGAGGCAGATACAAGGGGTTTCTGTTAGAGAGTTGAGGGTTGGTAAATTGTAGAGGCAGATACAAGGGGTTTCTGTTAGAGAGTTGAGGGTTTGTAAATTGTAGAGGCAGATACAAGGGGTATCTGTTAGAGAGTTGAGGGTTGGTAAATTGTAGAGGCAGATACAAGGGGTTTCTGTTAGAGAGTTGAGGGTTTGTAAATTTTAGAGGCAGATACAAGGGATATCTGTTAGAGAGTTGAGGGTTTGTAAATTGTAGAGGCAGATATAAGGGATTTCTGTTAGAGATGTAACCTGGGTTAAATATATTCGGGTCGTAGGGTCACCAGTGCACATAGGGATATATGCTTGTGAGCCGGATAGTTCCGCTCGCTCGGCCTCCGCCCTCTACTAGCATATGCTATAACCTTTTCTTTACCATCCTGAATCTGGTAAAGTACTGCCCCAAGACCTGTGCTACAGGCATCTGTATGGAGAATGAAAGGTTTAGAGTAATCAGCATAAGCTAATACAGGTGGTTGCGTCAACTTCTCCTTAATTAGCTCAAAAGAGCTTTGCTGAGGGTCACCCCAAACCCAGTCAGCTTTCCGCTTGGGTTTCTTTGACTTCCTGGACTTAGGTAAGTCTTTCAAAGTCTTTCTTTTCAAGTCATGACCTTGAAGAAGTTGATTGAGGGGATGGATAATCTTAGCGTAATCCTTGATGAAACGCCGATAATATCCACAGAAACCTAGGAATTGACGCAACTCCTTGACATTTGAAGGCTTCGGCCAGTCTTTGACCGCTGAAACTTTTTCAGGATCAGTAGCTATGCCCTCTTCGGACACTACATGACCGAGGTATGTTACAGATGTTTTGAAAAATTCGCACTTGGAAGGTTTCAGCTTTAAGCCATGCTTTACAAGCCTATCAAATACTGACTCTAGTCGACTGAGATGTTCATCAAAAGTCTTAGAAAATATAAGGATGTCATCGAGAAAAATGAGACATTCCTTCAGGTGCATATCTCCCATGCATTTTTCCATAAGTCTCTGGAAAGTGGCGGGTGCATTTGTCAAGCCAAACCCCATACGAACAGTTTCGTAGAAGCCAAGGTTGCCAACAGAAAATGCTGTTTTTTCCTTGTCAGCTTCAGCCAATTCAACTTGCCAATAACCAGCTCTCAGGTCAAGTTTAGAGAAATACCTGGCACCATTTAAAGTGTCTACAGTATCATCGAACCTTGGGAGCATATAGGCATCTTTACGAGACTTAGAGTTGAGCATATGATAATCTATGCAAAACCTTAAGGAACCGTCCTTCTTCCTTACCAAAACAACATTTGAAGAGTAAGGACTCGATGATTCTCGTATGACCCCAGCATCAAGCATTTCCTTGACATGCTGTCGGACTTCCTCGTACATACCTGGTGGTATTTTGCGATAAGGTTGTTTAAATGGCTTATCGTTTACGAGGTCGATCTTGTGCTGGACCAAGTCGGTGTGTCCGATATCAAAGGCGCTTTTAGAGAAAGCACATTCCCATTTACCAAGAACTTGCCTTGCACGCAATAACTGCTCCTCTGATAATGTATCAGTGTTAATCCTAACACCAAGTTCCTCAGGTAAAGACAAGTTATCTCCCTTGTCACTAACTGGCAAATGAGATGCCAAGTTATCAACAACTTTCACCTGAGCGACCTCACAAATAACTGATTTTGGAGGTATAATTATAGGTTTACCAGTAGTGTTACAAAGTTTCACTGGTATTTTAGCACGTGAAATGCCATTTTTCACTTTTATAACACGAGGGCACACCATATAGTTAAGAGCAGAATTGCTGCAATTTTCAGTGACTAGACTGGTTATATCGGGACTAAGTCCCCTGGCTATCCCATTAACAATGGCAGCAGGTGGTCCTGTCACTGAAGACAAGGACATGGATACTGGCAAAATTGATGTCAGTAAGATGTCTGAGAAGGACTTAATCAAGGCGCTTCAAGCGTTTGGGAATTGGGATGTTTTTCCCAAACCCATGAAAGGTCCTGGAGCTATTCCCAAAGGACCCAAGGAAGCTAGCACTCCTATAGTCAAGGAGGGTGATCCTGTACAAGGGTCTGTAGCTTTCGATTTTTCAAACTTAGGGCATACACTGAGTCATGCAGCCAATAGTGCCAACCGCCCTCGCATTGTTTCTTTGTTTTCTGGTGATGATCCACCCCAAAAGGGTGAGGCTTCTTATATTGAGTGGCGATTCGAGACCTCCGGGTATATTGATGACCCAGAGATACCAGAAACGGTGGTAATTCAGGCCATACGTAAGTCCTTAAGAGGTACGGCTAGGAGGATGCTGATTTCTATAGGCTCCTCAGCTACACCACACCAGATTTTGGATAGATTGGACATGCTATTTGGTGACATATCAACTCATGGCATGGTAATGCAAGAGTTTTTTAACTGTTCTCAGAGACCAGATGAGTCAGTTACAGCCTTTGGTTGTCGATTGGAGACATTACTCCAGACAGCCATAGAAAATGGCTCTTTACAGTCATCTTCAAAGAATGATCTCCTGCGGCATAAGTTTTGGACATCACTGTACAATGATAAACTTAAAAGCCAGACGAGACATAAATACGACAGCATCACAGACTATAACCATTTGTTGTGTGAGATTAGGGTGGTTGAGAAGGAATTAAACATTTCTTCTACAGGTTTCTCTAAACCTGACCCTACTAAAAGTAAAAAAGCTGGTCACCATGCAATCTCATGTGAGAGTAGTCAGGCTGTTGTTGGGTCTTCCAGCCTAGAAAAAACTTTTGATGAAAAGTTGAAAAAGTTAGAGGAAAAACTGTCGAATCAAGTTGTTGCCTGGCAGGACCATGTAAATTCTGTTCCTGACTTTTCTGACTCAGGTTTTGTGTAACAAATGATTTGTTTGACCTCAGACCGGTGTCAGCCTGATCAGCTGATCGGATATATAACTGTCAGATAAATGTGACTGACGAACCTGATCCATTCACGAACGTTTGATTATTATTTTTTCTGGAATTGTTAAATTGTTTCATAGACTTTAATTATCTTGGACTCATTGAATTATTTCATAGACTTTGATAATCCTTATACATATCATTGTGATACATGTATATTATAAATGTACCGTGTTATTTCTATATCCTTAATTGGTTGTCAGAGCTGTGCTAGTTGCAAAGTGATGAAATGTCAAGTCATAAGCGGTATGTCTACTTGCAAACTGCAAAGATTGCAAGGTCAAATGATTGTGATTGTTTTACCTGGATTAAGATCTCATTTCTTCATTACTAAGGAGAATGGCACCCTGAAGGGAGTCCTGTGTATATGTCTCTCTGATAAGAGGTTCTCCAGAGCAAACTCAAGCTTAGCTGTAGAGTCAAACTTTGTATAGTTTCTGTTTTGTTCTCTTAGATAGTATGGACAGGGATTTGTTTAGCAGTATCTTCCCTATAAGTATCAGGAATCTGTTAACCCTGTGCAACAACAATATTGTTGCTAGCACAATATTGGTGATTTGGCAAATCATACCTTATGTTGTTCCGCTGTCTTACCTATTCCAGTAGTAAGTGCGAATATATTTAAGCGTGGTAAATGCCTGAGACATTTATTTCTGCGGGGGAGTATGTAACCTGGGTTAAATATATTCGGGTCGTAGGGTCACCAGTGCACATAGGGATATATGTACTGTGAGCGTGTGATTGGACGCATGTTACCCTTTCACCCTTTCCCGCCACCTAAGTGACGCTACCAGTATAGGCTTCACTCTTACGTTGCCTATGCTGGTGGACGGACGCGATCTGATATTTCTGGACCCCCAGCACAGACCCTGGTAAGTACACAGCAGAATTCTTACCTCGATTTTATCTGATCAGTGGTGCGAGATCTTGTGTGCAAGAACGAGTATGAACTGTATGGAAGTGATCGTAAGAAGTCTTTTATTTATATTATAGGTCTTTCTCCTCGGACCAATAAATTTCTAAACATACACCAAGAGTCTTTCATCTGTTGACCGGTGTTACAGAGAGTTGAGGGTTTGTAAATTGTAGAGGCAGATACAAGGGGTTTCTGTTAGAGAGTTGAGGGTTTGTAAATTGTAGAGGCAGATACAAGGGATATCTGTTAGAGAGTTGAGGGTTTGTAAATTGTAGAGGCAGATATAAGGGATTTCTGTTAGAGAGTTGAGGGTTTGTAAATTGTAGAGGCAGATACAAGGGGTTTCTGTTAGAGAGTTGAGGGTTTGTAAATTTTAGAGGCAGATATAAGGGATTTCTGTTAGAGAGTTGAGGGTTTGTAAATTGTAGAGGCAGATATAAGGGATTTCTGTTAGAGAGTTGAGGGTTTGTAAATTGTAGAGGCAGATACAAGGGGTTTCTGTTAGAGAGTTGAGGGTTGGTAAATTGTAGAGGCAGATACAAGGGGTTTCTGTTAGAGAGTTGAGGGTCCTGTAAGAGAGTTCAGGGTTGGTAAATTGTAGAGGCAGATACAAGGGGTTTCTGTCCAAGAGTTGAGGGTTTGTAAATTGTAGAGGCAGATCCAAGGGATTTCTGTTAGAGAGTTGAGGGTTTGTAAATTGTAGAGGCAGATACAAGGGGTTTCTGTTAGAGAGTTCAGGGTTTGTAAATTGTAGAGGCAGATACAAGGGGTTTCTGTTAGAGAGTTGAGGGTTTGTAAATTGTAGAGGCAGATACAAGGGGTTTCTGTTAGAGAGTTGAGGGTCCTGTAAGAGAGTTCAGGGTTGGTAAATTGTAGAGGCAGATACAAGGGGTTTCTGTCCAAGAGTTGAGGGTTTGTAAATTGTAGAGGCAGATCCAAGGGATTTCTGTTAGAGAGTTGAGGGTTTGTAAATTGTAGAGGCAGATACAAGGGGTTTCTGTTAGAGAGTTGAGGGTTTGTAAATTGTAGAGGCAGATACAAGGGGTTTCTGTTAGAGAGTTGAGGGTTTGTAAATTGTAGAGGCAGATCCTAGGGGTTTCTGTTAGAGAGTTCAGGGTTGGTAAATTGTAGAGGCAGATACAAGGGGTTTCTGTTAGAGAGTTCAGGGTTTGTAAATTGTAGAGGCAGATACAAGGGGTTTCTGTTAGAGAGTTGAGGGTTGGTAAATTGTAGAGGCAGATACAAGGGATTTCTGTTAGAGAGTTGAGGGTTTGTAAATTGTAGAGGCAGATCCTAGGGGTTTCTGTTAGAGAGTTCAGGGTTTGTAAATTGTAGAGGCAGATACAAGGGGATTCTGTTAGAGAGTTGAGGGTTGCTAAATTGTAGAGGCAGATACAAGGGGTTTCTGTTAGAGAGTTGAGGGTTGGTAAATTGTAGAGGCAGATACAAGGGGATTCTGTTAGAGAGTTGAGGGTTGCTAAATTGTAGAGGCAGATACAAGGGATTTCTGTTAGAGAGTTGAGGGTTGGTAAATTGTAGAGGCAGATATAAGGGATTTTTGTTAGAGAGTTGAAGGTTGGTAAATTGTAGAGGCAGATACAAGGGATATCTGTTAGAGAGTTAAGGGTTGGTAAATTGTAGAGGCAGATACAAGGGATATCTGTTAGAGAGTTAAGGGTTGGTAAATTGTAGAGGCAGATACAAGGGATATCTGTTAGAGAGTTAAGGGTTGGTAAATTGTAGAGGCAGATATAAGGGATTTTTGTTAGAGAGTTAAGGGTTGGTAAATTGTAGAGGCAGATACAAGGGGTTTCTGTTAGAGAGTTGAAGGTTGGTAAATTGTAGAGGCAGATACAAGGGATATCTGTTAGAGAGTTGAGGGTTGGTAAATTGTAGAGGCAGATACAAGGGGTTTCTGTTAGAGAGTTAAGGGTTGGTAAATTGTAGAGGCAGATATAAGGGATTTTTGTTAGAGAGTTAAGGGTTGGTAAATTGTAGAGGCAGATACAAGGGATATCTGTTAGAGAGTTGAGGGTTGGTAAATTGTAGAGGCAGATACAAGGGATATCTGTTAGAGAGTTAAGGGTTGAAAAATTGTAGAGGCAGATACATGGGATATCTGTTAGAGAGTTAAGGGTTGGTAAATTGTAGAGGCAGATATAAGGGATTTTTGTTAGAGAGTTGAAGGTTGGTAAATTGTAGAGGCAGATACAAGGGATATCTGTTAGAGAGTTGAGGGTTGGTAAGTTGTGTAGGCAGATCCTAGGGGTTTCTGTCCAATAGTTGAGGGTTGGTTAGTTGTGTAGGCAGATCTTTGGAGGGGGGGTATTTTTGACAGTTGAGGGTTGGTGTAATTCCTGTTTTAAAGGGACATATATAATTGAAAATGTATTTTTGAAAGTGAATATATCTTGCTGCTAATATATATCTCAATCGTAGTCAGATTGAAATGTCCAATTTGACCATACAAATTGGTTTTATGCAATGAAAATAAAAAATTTTTATCAGATATTCAAAAAAAAGAAAAAAGACTTTGAAGGGATAATTATGTAGCATTGAAATAACATGATATGAAAGTACTGCTCTGATTACAGACCCCACGTCTGCAGAAGTGTGGCTAGAGATCTACCGACTTCCCCGAGATGAGTGGGTTCAGGAACTGGAGAAAAGGCTTGCTGATGCCCAGAAAGAACTGGAGAAGAAAGACGGAAAGGTACAAATGTGTTCAGTCTGTAGAATTTAAATAATTTTCTGACAAATACAAAATTATCCTTAGTTATTCATGTTGAAGGTAGTCTTATATAGGGAATTAAAGACAATGAAAACATAATTTGTTTGAAAATCAATAGGTAATATGGTATGTGAAAAAACTTGATAATCATTGCATATGTAAATTGCTGTAGAGAATAAGTTATCTGTTTCAGACAGTGGAAGAGCCCCCAACACCAGTGGCTACAGAGGAGGGTGATGGAGAAAGTGAACAGCAGGTATTTATCTATCTAGGGTATCACCAGTGTTTCTGTATGTCTGTGTTTTTATGAGAATTTAGTTTTTTTGCTGTAAATTCTTGAAAATCTCAATAAACAGAAGAGGTTGAATCTTTCTCCTACCCAAGTAATCATCCTAACCAGTATTTAGTCCTTCTCCTGTCTAAGCAATCACCCTACTGTGCTGTACTGGATCTGAATTATAATAATTGTCTGTGAAATGAAGGCCACGTTCTTCATCATAGTGTTAATTAAGATACTGTAACGATATTGCAATCCCAAGAAAATAGTATTTTGATAAAAGTTTTCAAAATTTTATACTTCAAATTTGGGATGGCGCAATATTACATGATGTACATTGTGCTCACAATATCTGCACAATGTGAGCATGATGTGTGGAAGATGTATGCATGATGTGCACATGAAAGGAAAACTGGATGAAATAAGCTATCGCCCATCTGTGGGCACGTTGTGTGGTTCTATCACAAAGATGTGCGATTCTATTGTGGTTGATATAAATTTAGAATTGATACAGATGTGTGGGATAGGGTTTATTTACTTTCTAAATGAAAAATGGAAAAAATGAAACATTCCTTGATCAGAGAAATACAAAAAAAACCTCGCAGTTGTAAATAGAATTTGATTATCAATCTGATTCTTGGAATGTGCATCCTTGATACTCAAAGTGTGACTGTCACTTTTGCTCTCTACACCCCTGACACATGTCATGGCAAAATTGAAGGTTCCACATGTGACACCTTGTGGACAAAACGAAAAGACTAGTTTAATGCTTTGATATACATCAAATGAATCTTAAGGTCTTATAACAATATATTGCAATGACTTTGAAGTTGGGTGTCGCTCCTTTGTAATCATCAAAAACAGGGTGTCAGCCTGTGATTGGTCAGTTTTTTTCTCCTGGAACCAATCATATTTCTTCGCTTGTGTTTCCAGTTTTGCCATGACATATTCCAGGAGTTCAGAGAATGAAAGACTGTAACCCCTGGAGTATCAAGCATGTTTAACATATTGACAATAAAAGAGGAGTGCTGGTGTTTTAGGGAAATGTAATTTTGTAACTAAACAGTAACACTTGATACTTCCACTAATTATTCTTCTGGTTTGCTTACTTTGATTAATGTATATGTCTATATATCTATGTTAATAATAACATATATTAATCTCCTTCTAGCAGTAAAGCCTGTGTATATTACAATATAATGACGGTCATCAGATGATGCACAAAAGAGAACATTAATTTCTTTCCCATAGTTTAAAACTTGGAGAAAAGTGTTTCTTGATCTTGGCTTTACTGGAATTCTGAGGAAGTATTAGCTTTGGAGAGGATATGTAACAGGTTTTACTGTATTCTGTATACTGTTAATCAACTACTTACTCTTATATCTATCCAGTTTGTATCACGCTTCCCTAAAAAGGGCAAAGGTCATAACCACAGTCGTTCTGTAACCTGGAAAGTAAGAACTCATGCTTGGCTTGTTTTAATAGCTTATTATATACCTGTACAATATACACAGTCTGGCTAGTGTGAGTCACCTTATTATATACCTGTGCAATATACACAGTCTGGCTAGTGTGAGTCACCTTATTATATACCTGTACAATATACACAGTCTGACTAGTGTGAGTCACCTTGTTATATACCTGTACAATATACACAGTCTGGCTAGTGTGAGTCACCTTGTTATATACCTGTACAATATACACAGTCTGGCTAGTGTGAGTCACCTTGTTATATACCTGTACAATATACACAGTCTGGCTAGTGTGAGTCACCTCATTATATACCTGTACAATATACACAGTCTGACCAGTGTGAGTCACCTCATTATATACCTGTACAATATACACAGTCTGACCAGTGTGAGTCACCTCATTATATACCTGTACAATATACACAGTCTGACCAGTGTGAGTCACCTCATTATATACCTGTACAATATACACAGTCTGACCAGTGTGAGTCACCTCATTATATACCTGTACAATATACACAGTCTGACCAGTGTGAGTCACCTCATTATATACCTGTACAATATACACAGTCTGACCAGTGTGAGTCACCTCATTATATACCTGTACAATATACACAGTCTGACCAGTGTGAGTCACCTTATTATATACCTGTACAATATACACAGTCTGGCCAGTGTGAGTCACCTTATTATATTATATACCTGTACAATATACACAGTCTGTCCAGTGTGAGTCACCTATATTATATACCTGTGAGTCACCTCATTATATACAATATACACAGTCACCAGTGTGAGTCACCTCATTATATACCTGTACAATATACACAGTCTGACCAGTGTGAGTCACCTTATTATATACCTGTACAATATACACAGTCTGGCTAGTGTGAGTCACCTCATTATATACCTGTACAATATACACAGTCTGACCAGTGTGAGTCACCTTATTATATACCTGTACAATATACACAGTCTGGCCAGTGTGAGTCACCTTATTATATACCTGTACAATATACACAGTCTGGCCAGTGTGAGTCACCTTATTATATACCTGTACAATATACACAGTCTGGCCAGTGTGAGTCACCTTATTATATACCTGTACAATATACACAGTCTGGCCAGTGTGAGTCACCTTATTATATACCTGTACAATATACAAAGTCAGGCTAGTGTGAGTCACCTTATTATATACCTGTACAATATACACAGTCTGGCTAGTGTGAGTCACCTTATTATATACCTGTACAATATACACAGTCTGGCTAGTGTGAGTCACCTTATTATATACCTGTACAATATACACAGTCTGGCTAGTGCTACACACCTTATTATATCTGTACAATATACACAGTCCTAGTGTGAGTCACCTTATTATATATACAATATACCCAGTGTGAGTCACATTATATACCTGTACAATATACACAGTCTGGCTAGTGTGAGTCACCTTATTATATACCTGTACAATATACACAGTCTGGCTAGTGTGAGTCACCTTATTATACATTATATATACATATATACACAGTCAGTGTGAGTCACCTTATTATATACCTGTACAATATACACAGTCTGGCCAGTGTGAGTCACCTTATTATATACCTGTACAATATACAAAGTCTGGCTAGTGTGAGTCACCTTATTATATACCTGTACAATATACACAGTCTGGCTAGTGTGAGTCACCTCATTATATACCTGTACAATATACACAGTCTGGCTAGTGTGAGTCACCTCATTATATACCTGTACAATATACACAGTCTGGCCAGTGTGAGTCACCTTATTATATACCTGTACAATATACAAAGTCTGGCTAGTGTGAGTCACCTTATTATATACCTGTACAATATACACAGTCTGGCTAGTGTGAGTCACCTTGTTATATACCTGTACAATATACTGGCTAGTGTGATTCACCTTATTATATACCTGTACAATATACACAGTCTGGCTAGTGTGAGTCACCTTATTATATACCTGTACAATATACACAGTCTGGCTAGTGTGAGTCACCTTATTATATACCTGTACAATATACACAGTCTGGCTAGTGTGAGTCACCTTATTATATACCTGTACAATATACACAGTCTGGCTAGTGTGAGTCACCTTATTATATACCTGTACAATATACACAGTCTGGCCAGTGTGAGTCACCTTATTATATACCTGTACAATATACACAGTCTGGCCAGTGTGTCACCTCATTATATAGTCACCTCATTATATACCTGTACAATATACACAGTCTGACCAGTGTGAGTCACCTCATTATATACCTGTACAATATACACAGTCTACCAGTGTGAGTCACCTCATTATATACCTGTACAATATACACAGTCTGACCAGTGTGAGTCACCTCATTATATACCTGTACAATATACACAGTCTGACCAGTGTGAGTCACCTTATCATATACCTGTACAATATACACAGTCTGACCAGTGTGAGTCACCTTATTATATACCTGTACAATATACACAGTCTTGCTAGTGTGAGTCACATGATATGCTATAATCCTTGCACAAGAGTGTTTTTGATTTCAATTCAGTGATATTTTCTACCAAACACAAGTTGGGCCAGCGAAGAATTTTATATCATGTGTGGTTTGTTTTTTGATGTATTTGATATACCCTTACTAGGCCATCAGTTAGGGACCATCTATTTCAGCTTGAACATTTTAATCAAAACTAAATTTTCCTTTGATAAAACTAAACTTTGTTGTACTCCTTGCAGAATGATACAAACAACGATAACACAGATTAAAGTGGGTTACCTCTTACACGAACAAAACACATGTTTACTTACAAACTTAAAGCAATGTTTGCACATGTATCATTGGTAAATCAAACATGTGCTCATACCGTTTTAAAAAATAGCATGTCCAAAATTGAAAAGTGATGAAAGAGGGTAAGTTCTGGAATGGTTCAGGACAGTATGATATACAGGCAAATAGCTGCATGTTTTAATGTCAGCCATTTTGTTATTTCTTCGTCAATGCAGCATCTGCATCAAGCTTTGTATGTTGACGGACGTTCCAGTTCTGGCAGACCTTGAAAAGACTACGGACAGACAAGCCTCATTTACTACTACCAGCATGCTGATATGACAGTGGAATGTCAGTGTAGCTGGTGTACTGTCAACAGATGTTGGACTAATAGGGGACTTCGCTCTCACCGACTAATAAAATGTCCTGTTGACCGTAAATCACAAACAAGAAAGTGCAATGTACACATGATCACCGGACATTGAATATTAAGTCTTTGCAAAGAGTCCATTGGTCTGATGAAAACCACTTTTTACTTAGTCCAACAGACAGCAGAGTCCATGGAGACTGAGAAATATGGCATACCATGTATTCACATTGGTGGCAGTGATCCTTTTTGAGATGCTTTTTTTGCTAAACTGTAAACTTTTCCTGCATGCCCATGATGGAACTTTAAATGGGCAGATCTCTAGTTGTTTAGCATTTCAATGCCCATCCATTGGCAGATCAGCATATCCTAATGGATGACCATGCAAACCAACACAGAGCCTGCCCATGGCAAGATTATCTACAACAAAAAGTGATTAAGATACTCCAATGGCATACATTATCACCAGTCATGAACCCAATTGAGCATGTGTGGGACTCTCTTGGGCAAATAGTCAATGCATAGATCCAAAATGCAAAACAGTTGGAAAAAACACGAGCTACATTGATTCAGGAGTGCCAGAGGATTCCATAGAACAAGCTTTGATGTTGTCAATGGTATGAGACAATGTGCAGAAGAATTATACCAGAAGCGTGGTAGCTATGCCTGATATTGACATTTCATACCAAATAGAACTAGATGATTAGTTAATCTCCTTGGTCAAGTGACATGTTTCTGAAAGTGTCCAGAGTTATCATGGATTGCCCTTCCTGAAGGTGTCCAGACTTATCATGGATACCCCTTCCTGTAGGTGTCCAGACTTATCATGGTAACCCTTCCTGTAGGTGTCCAGACTTATCATGGATTGTCCTTTCTGAAGGTGTCCAGACATATGGATTGCCCTTCCTGACAGTGTCTAGACTTATCATGGATTACCCTTCCTGAAGGTGTCCAGACTTATCATGGATTGCACTTCCTGAAGGTGTCCAGACTGATCATGGATATCCCTTCCTGAAAGTGACCAGACTTATCAAGGATTGCCCTTCCTGAAAGTGTCCAGACTTATCATGGATTGCACTTCCTGAAGGTGTCCAGACTTATCATGGATTGCACTTCCTGAAGGTGTCCAGACTTATCATGGATTGCACTTCCTGTAGGTGTCCAGACTTATCATGGATTGCACTTCCTGAAGGTGTCCAGACTTATCATGGATTGCACTTCCTGAAGGTGTCCAGACTTATCATGGATTGCACTTCCTGAAGGTGTCCAGACTTATCATTGACCACTGTTTCTGAAAGTGTCCAGACTTATCATGGATTGCACTTCCTGAAGGTGTCCAGACTTATCATGGATTGCACTTCCTGAAGGTGTCCAGACTTATCATGGATTGCACTTCCTGAAGGTGTCCTGAATTATCAAGGATTGCACTTCCTGAAAGTGTCCAGACTTATCATTGATCACTGTTTCTGAAAGTGTCCAGACTCATCATGGATTGCACTTCCTGAAGGTGTCCAGACTTATCATTGACCACTGTTTCTGAAAGTGTCCAGACTTATCATGGATTGCACTTCCTGAAGGTGTCCAGAATTATCAAGGATTGCACTTCCTGAAAGTGTCCAGACTTATCATTGATCACTGTTTCTGAAAGTGTCCAGACTCATCATGGATTGCACTTCCTGAAGGTGTCCAGACTTATCATGGATCGCACTTTCTGAAAGTGTCCAGACTAAACATGGATAGTCCTTGACTACCCAGTTCCTACTTGACTGCTGAATGTCCTTGTTTCCTTTTACTTTAGCTGTGGCATTGCACTTGAGCATGATCAAACACTACATTTTTCCTTTATCACTTAAATAGTTTCCCTGCACAGTCTGATTAACTTTATTAACTTTGGGTTTTTTTTAATCATGTTAATGATGTTCTGTTTTCTTCACTTAAGGTGATAAAGAATATGTACTGATGTTGTTTGTGTTTTGTATGCTGAAGTTATGCATTTAACTATTATCAACAACATATCAGTGTTAAGCATTGTAGGTAAATACAGTGATATGATAAGACTAATTCTTCTATTCTAAATATGCTTCTGTTGATTTTAAACACAGGAAAACCAGCCAGAAACAACACCACATCCGTCTACACATCCAGACAAGGCAGCCAAATTCACACAGATTTCACTTGTGATGAAGTTGAAACCCCCGTCCACACCAACAGGTAATACTCAAATATTTAATATGTGATAATCTAGTAATGATTCTAATGAAAAAAATGTAGAAATAAATAAGGAGTAATTTTTTTCATGAAAATGATCCTGCTCAGCACCATATACATCTTCACACATCTGTTTGTCGAGATGTTTTTATAACAAAGATACCAAACGTCTTCCAATGTCCAGTACAGGAAACAAAATCCAAGCCATCTGATTGAAAGGCACCAACCAACGTGCCACCTTAACACTCAATGTGGAATCAAAAAGCTATACAATAATTCAGAATAGAAATTTGATGTCAAATCTTAGGAATAATCTCTGGCTAAATATCACAGCTAAAATCTGGTGTGATTATTTTATTAGCAGCAGTATAAATATTTCTGAATGTAGACAATTGTAGGTGTAAGGAATCTTTATCATTTTGATTTCTAAATGGCTATCACTATGATATGTAGTTATGATGATTTACATGTTATTATTGTGTTACAGTCCAGTTACATATATATATATATGACCTAACAGTCTATTGTTTGCTATTTATCACTACATGATTTTAATTGCAGCCATTGAAAAGAGAGGTAATTTTTAATTCACTGGCCTTGGTTTGCTAGACACACCTTTCTATATTGTATAACTTTACACCTTAGCTTGTCTGCATGTTCACCCTTGTCTGCCTAAAGAATTTGTCAGGTGAATGTGTATTGTTTAAAGAAAATAATGTATATATTTATAACTCCAGATTATAGTCAATTAAGATTAAGTCAGTCATGAAGAAGTTAAACCTTCAGCATAAATGTAATATAATAATGATGATATTACGTCATTACAAGATAAGTTTGTTTAAAGTGATAATAGTTGGAATACCAAGATTTTTCACTTCTATAAAGATTAGTGGTAATGTTGTCTCCTTTGCAGCATTTAGAGTTTGAACTGAAATGTAACATACTCGGGTTAAATGCATGTATAATTTCAACTATAAACTTTATTTATTTTTTCAACTATACACTTTATTTATTTTACAACAATTGCAAAACAAGCTTTTCCAACTTATATTAATCACTGTTGTTGGTCCAGATGTAAACATGCACAGGATCTAACTATGGGGGAAACTTGAGTACCAAGGGAAAACCAGCCTGGTTGGGCAGGTGACCCTGCACATTTTCACATCCATTTCACCTATTAAACCCTGATGTTTAGGTGAAAGGCGAGTGCGTGACCACTGCACCACCTAACCACCTCCAAAATAACCCAATAATTTCAACCTCGGAAGTATTTTGATAGAAAAAGAAATAAAATTCAGGAAAAACTTTACAGAATATTCTTCCATGAAACTACCTGGTCACCTGGTGTAGACGTACACTGCTAATTATCATCATTAATATTAACTTTGCTAGCTCTAAATATCAGCATGAATATTAATTTCTTTAACTTCTACATAATGTTGTATATATCCTTGTTGTAAACAGAACATTAACAAACCATGCTAGATAAAGAGACCTAATCTGTTATCCTGCCTTGTCAAACAAGTTTAGTACCATTACATAGAATATTGTAGCATTGCATTTGATTTAAATCATCACTTGACAAGAATTGCTTGTTGCATATTGAGTAGTGTTTAGTATTATAGTTAAATGCTATTTTCAAGAGACATTAATTCAACACAAAGAATTCTTTTACACAACAAAGAAAATACAGATGTGTTAACAGAATCTCAGACTTCGATGAAAAATGGCAAAATATGAACAAAAGAAAGATTTACATGAAAAAATACACGGAGAATAAGACCAGGTGTTCAGGAAGAGTGAGCGCCTTCTGCTTAATCAACAACACCTGCCATGTAAATCTTGGTCAATACTTATAAGTTATGTCACATTCCTAAATGAGAACATCATATGCAGAAATGGAAAAAGCAGGTATACTGATGAGCATCAAACATGTTCAGCTCCATTTTGTACAAAGAAATAGATGATGGCTGTAAAACTTCCCCATCATCTTCATCAACCTACATCTCTAGAAACCCTGTACTGTGAGTTTGTCTTTGCTAACATCTCTCAAGATACAATAAAAAATTGTGATACCAGGAACAAGTCCTAGAATATCAATTAAATGCAATCCAGAAATGGAAATTCACAATATGAGAAATGAAATCATATCATACCTGTCACACTTCTGGCAGAAAATATAGAGGTAAGATTAGCCTGTTTTGTCCTTGATTCCTATTCTTGTAGGTATGTATGACGAACATAGTCGACAAATCTCTAGTTATTTAAAGACAAGACATCATCAATATATCTGAAAGTGAAACTGAAAGATTTTACAGGGTCTTTGTGACTTATTTGTGGAAAGCTCTTTGGTAAATTCAGCCTCATATGAAAACAAGAACAAGTCATCCAAGAAAGGAGCACAGTTTGGTCCCATTAGGCCAAAGGATTTCTGTTAGTAGATCCAATGTATACTTTCCTATGATGGAAAAAGAATTATTTCTACCAGCATTAGCAACTGAAGTTATGAAAGAACATGACAATATATTGTAATTTAGATTGCTATAGACTTGAAACAGATCTGAGTCAAACCGTCAATGTTTAATATGTATTTCCATTAGTAACGTACTGTTAGAGGAGAATTTACATCCTATCACCTATGTCTTGACACCATTTAGTCATATGATTTACTATAGACATATAAATGTATTTATCAATGTTTACTTCATATGTTGTATAGTCTTAACATCTTAGTGTTCATATTCTGAGATATTTCACAGGGTGATACCTTGATCACTAGAGATGGGATAATTTTGTCACCATAGAGTAGGCAAGGACATCTAGCACACGCTATGACACTACTCAGTATAGGGTAGTATTCATCATTTTATATAGAGTAATTATGTTACAAAATGATAATGTCATCGATTTTGACACCCACTTCAAGGGACACTGATGATGACACGATCAACAGGTTTCACAACAACTTACAAATTGTTACTGTTTTTTTTTAAGAATATGTGAGAAAAAATAATCCCAACAGGAGTTTTTTTTATAGACAGGACTGTCTCAATGTTTGTGAAAGAGTTTGGCAGACCAGTACTCAGCAAGCCTTGTGTCTATCGGTGTAACACATAAAATGTATCTCCTGCACTAGACCAGTACTCAGCAAGCCTTGTGTCTATCGGTGTAACACATAAAAAGTATCTCCTGCACTAGACCAGTACTCAGCAAGCCTTGTGTCTATCGGTGTAACACATAAAATGTATCTCCTGCACTAGACCAGTACTCAGCAAGCCTTGTGTCTATCGGTGTAACACATAAAACATAGGTAAATGTATCTCCTTATACAGTTATAGACCTGTAGTACTCAGCAAGCCTTGTTTATATGTAAAATGTACCCCTCCTGTATAAAATGTACCCCTCCTGTATAAAATGTACCTCTCCTGTATAAAATGTACCCTCCTGTATAAAATGTACCCTCCTGTATAAAATGTACCCCTCCTGTATACAATGTACCCCTCCTGTATACAATGTACCCCTCCTGTATAAAATGTACCCCTCCTGTATACAATGTACCCTCCTGTATAAAATGTACCCCTCCTGTATAAAATGTACCCCTCCTGTATACAATGTACCCCTCCTGTATAAAATGTACACTCCTGTATACAATGTACCCTCCTGTATAAAATGTACCCCTCCTGTATAAAATGTACCCCTCCTGTATAAAATGTACCCCTCCTGTATAAAATGTACCCCTCCTGTATAAAATGTACCCCTCCTGTATAAAATGTACCCCTCCTGTATAAAATGTACCCCTCCTGTATACAATGTACCCCTCCTGTATAAAATGTACCCCTCCTGTATAAAATGTACCCCTCCTGTATAAAATGTACCCTCCTGTATAAAATGTACCCCTCCTGTATAAAATGTACCCCTCCTGTATACAATGTACCCCTCCTGTATACAATGTACACTCCTGTATAAAATGTACCCCTCCTGTATAAAATGTACCCCTCCTGTATAAAATGTACCCCTCCTGTATAAAATGTACCCCTCCTGTATAAAATGTACCCCTCCTGTACAATACCCCTCCTGTAAAATGTACCCCTCCTGTATACAATGTACCCTCCTGTATACAATGTACCCCTCCTGTATAAAATGTACCCCTCCTGTATACAATGTACCCCTCCTGTATACAATGTACCCCTCCTGTATAAAATGTACCCCTCCTGTATAAAATGTACCCCTCCTGTATAAAATGTACCCCTCCTGTATAAAATGTACCCCTCCTGTATAAAATGTACCCCTCCTGTATACAATGTAAAATGTACCCCTCCTGTATACAATACCCCTCCTGTATACAATGTACCCCTCCTGTATAAAATGTACCCCTCCTGTATACAATGTACCCCTCCTGTATACAATGTACCCCTCCTGTATAAAATGTACCCCTCCTGTATACAATGTACCCCTCCTGTATACAATGTACCCCTCCTGTACCCCTCCTGTATACAATGTACCCCCTGTATACAATGTACCCCTCCTGTATACAATGTACCCCTCCTGTATACATTTTACCCTCCTGTATATAATGTACCCCTCCTGTATACAATGTACCCTCCTGTATACAATGTACCCCTCCTGTATACAATGTACCCCTCCTGTATACAATGTACCCCTCCTGTATACAATGTAAATGTACCCCTCCTGTATACAATGTACCCCTCCTGTATACAATGTACCCCTCCTGTATACAATGTACCCCTCCTGTATACAATGTACCCCTCCTGTATACAATGTACCCCTCCTGTATACAATGTACCCCTCCTGTATAACCCCTCCTGTATACAATGTAATGTACCCCTCCTGTATAAATGTACCCCTCCTGTATACAATGTACCCCTCCTGTATGTACCCCTCCAATGTACCCCTCCTGTATACAATGTACCCCTCCTGTATACAATGTACCCCTCCTGTATACAATGTACCCCTCCTGTATACAATGTACCCCTCCTGTATAAAATGTACCCCTCCTGTATACAATGTAATGTACACTCCTGTATACAATGTACCCCTCCTGTATAAAATGTACCCCTCCTGTATACAATGTACCCCTCCTGTATACAATGTACCCCTCCTGTATACAATGTACCCCTCCTGTATACAATGTACCCCTCCTGTATACAATGTACCCCTCCTGTATAAATGTACCCCTCCTGTATAAACCCCTCCTGTATACAATGTACCCCTCCTGTATAAATGTACCCCTCCTGTATACAATGTACCCCTCCTGTATACAATGTACCCCTCCTGTATATGTACCCCTCCTGTAAAATGTACCCCTCCTGTATAAAATGTACCCCTCCTGTATACAATGTACCCCTCCTGTATACAATGTACCCCTCCTGTATACAATGTACCCCTCCTGTATACAATGTACCCCTCCTGTATAAAATGTACCCCTCCTGTATACAATGTACCCCTCCTGTATACAATGTACCCCTCCTGTATACAATGTACCCCTCCTGTACCCCTCCTGTAACAATGTACCCCTCCTGTATAAAATGTACCCCTCCTGTATACAATGTACCCCTCCTGTACCCCTCCTGTATACAATGTACCCCTCCTGTATACAATGTACCCCTCCTGTATAAAATGTACCCCTCCTGTATACAATGTACCCTCCTGTATACAATGTACCCCTCCTGTATACAATGTACCCCTCCTGTATACAATGTACCCCTCCTGTATACAATGTACCCTCCTGTATACAATGTACCCCTCCTGTATACAATGTACCCCTCCTGTATACAATGTACCCCTCCTGTATAAAATGTACCCCTCCTGTATACAATGTACCCCTCCTGTATACAATGTACCCCTCCTGTATACAATGTACCCTCCTGTATACAATGTACCCCTCCTGTATAAAATGTACCCCTCCTGTATACAATGTACCCCTCCTGTATACAATGTACCCCTCCTGTATACAATGTACCCTCCTGTATACAATGTACCCCTCCTGTATACAATGTACCCCTCCTGTATACAATGTACCCCTCCTGTATACAATGTACCCCTCCTGTATACAATGTACCCCTCCTGTATACAATGTACCCCTCCTGTATACAATGTACCCCTCCTGTATACAATGTACCCCTCCTGTATACAATGTACCCTCCTGTATACAATGTACCCCTCCTGTATACAATGTACCCCTCCTGTATAAAATGTACCCCTCCTGTATAAAATGTACCCCTCCTGTATACAATGTACCCCTCCTGTAAAATGTACCCCTCCAATGTACCCCTCCTGTATACAATGTACCCCTCCTGTATACAATGTACCCCTCCTGTATACAATGTACCCTCCTGTATAAAATGTACCCCTCCTGTATAAAATGTACCCCTCCTGTATAAAATGTACCCCTCCTGTATAAAATGTACCCCTCCTGTATAAAATGTACCCCTCCTGTATAAAATGTACCCTCCGGTATAAAATGTACCCCTCCTGTATAAAATGTACCCCTCCTGTATAAAATGTACCCCTCCTGCTGTATAAAATGTACCCCTCCTGTATAAAATGTACCCCTCCTGTATACAATGTACCCCTCCTGTATACAATGTACCCCTCCTGTATACAATGTACCCCTCCTGTATACAATGTACCCCTCCTGTATAAAATGTACCCCTCCTGTATAAAATGTACCCCTCCTGTATACAATGTACCCCTCCTGTATACAATGTACCCCTCCTGTATACAATGTACCCTCCTGTATAAAATGTACCCCTCCTGTATAAAATGTACCCACTCCAGTCACCTCAATTTCAAGCAAATGTTAACATAACTCTTACACTTTAATTGAAATATACCTGATCCATAGAAAAGACTTATGTAAGATTTCATTCTTAATATTTCTGTTGGTTTTTTAAAATTTCATTCCATTTTTCATTACAAATTCAATTTGACACAATGTTATCAAACTTGTTGAACTTCAAAAGAATTAGATTGATCACTAGGAATCAGAATTTATTTGAACAAAGTGATTATTATGAATTTATGATTAATCATTAACATATGTTTCAATTTATGACCAAGTCCTTCACATTTTCTTTACTACACATTCATGTGTCTCTAGCTATTTCTAGTAAAATTCATACCTTCAGTTACAACTATGACTTATACAGCCAAGGACTCATTCTTAGGAATGCCTCTTCCCACCCAAACTCTTTCATCCAGTCGTATATGACGGTGTTCCTCCTCACTTTTCCCTTATAAGGATATCCTATAACTATATGCCCCCTCTCTAATCCTGTTTCTTTTACTCAGTGCCCCTTTAATCCCTATTTCCCTACGAGGATAACTTACAACTATATCCCCCCTCTCTAATCCTGTCTCTCTTATCTAGTGCCCCTTTAATCCCTATTTCCCTACAAGGATAATCTACAACTAAATGTCCCTACTCTAATCTTGTCGCTCTCATCCAATGTCTGTGCCCCTCTCTCCTATTTCCTTAAAAGGATATCCTATATCTATATGCCCCCTCTCTAATCCTGTCTCTCTTATCCACTGGCTGACTGTTCCCCTTTCTTCCATTTTCATTATAAGATTTACCTACTATATCTTCTCTGTGCCTCCATCCCATCTATAATATGAGAATTGCTTTCTTCTCAATCTTCTGTGTCCTAATGAATGCAGTTTTTGTTCTTCAGTTTAACTTTCTTCAGTGAATTCATCGTTGTCACAGTGTTTGTTACCTGGCCAGTAATTTCTTTATCCAGCCCTAATGTCTTAATGCCTTCAGATATCACATCAATATAACACCTGAATGTTCATATATCAACTTTCTGTACATTTAATAAACCTGATAAATGTAATCTAGTTATCTATTAGATTTAAACTATATATTAAGTGTGAGGGAATGTGTTGGATCATGATGGCTATATAGATATGAAAGAGAATGAAGATATGTTTACATGTATCAGGTAACCTGGCCCCCTCCATCCATGGAGCATGTCAGAAAGTGGACAGTGGGGACGTAATAGGCACCGGCCAGAACCACATACTGACCACAAGCCATCTGGAACAGAGAGCGGAAATATTTGAGAACAACTACAAACACATGTTAGACTATTTACCCAAGGAGGAGAAGATGATAGATCTTACCAGGTAAAATTTTATGACAGAAAACAACTTTCAAAAGGGAAGGCAGAAACCAACTTCCTGCTTGGGAGGGTCTCACCAGTAAAACTGTAGAATAGAAACTGACTTCAAAAGGGGAGTCACTAGACAAAAACATTACACTAGGGAAAACTGTATTTGGTTTTGATACTTTCATCAGATAATTGTGATTATCAACAACATATTGATACACAATGCTGGTTGTTCAGAAATATTCTCATGCTGTCTTTGTTCCATTTTCAGAGATGTCAACTTTCATTTCATGACTTCAGGAAGGTTGATGCACAACTCACAAGAATCCCCAAACCATCCAGGTATTATAAAAGATTATTCTAAAATCTGATACAGGTTTTAAAAATATGTGTGTGTTAAGTCTGTCACATTTATTTAACTTGTTACATGTAATTAATTTGTTTATCATAGAATTATTTACATGCACAGGGAGCCCAACCAATGTTGCAGTGTGGTGGCAGAACAGCACTCATCTGTACCATTACTCATTGTTCAAACAGCCTGCAAAAGGTAAATCACTTATGCTTACCTAAGAAGTCTTAAGAGTGGTATGGTGATGTTTATACTCCACCTTTATTACCATAATCATTCCCTTAAGTCATCAGAGTCTGATACATAATAATGCTTGTATCATGTTGATTTAGGAATCAAACTTTCTTTTATCCGAAGATTTGTTACACTGTACATAAGTCTCTATCAGGTACATTTTTATATACCCTCCAAGTTGCTTGCTCCAGATATTGCTCTCAGATTATGATAAATGTTTCAATAAATGGTCATTAAAAGTAATGATGGTTTTCATAAAATACTCGAGCATAAGTACAGAGACACACAAGCTTCAGGCCTCACAGACAACTGTGTCAGTTTATAAATATATACATATATATAACACAATGCTATGTTATTTGAATTCATTTCCATAGAATTGTTATATCACATTAAAACCATGTTTTCAGATGGAGAAATGAAGCCTGACCTGGTTTGGCCTTTCACTAGTAAGATTACTGCCACAACGATGTCCACAGACTCCAACCTGTTTGTAATAGGATTGGCCTCCGGGAATGTCGTGATGTGGGACAGGTACCTGGGTAAGTACTCATATGACTGGACTCTAGGAATGTTGTGGTGTGGGACATGTACCTAGGGAAGTACTCATATGGCTGGACTCTAGGAATGTTGTGGTGAGGGACATATAACTAGGGAAGTAATTATAGGACTTGCCTCTAGGAATGTTGTGGTGTGGGACAGGTACCTAGGTAAATAATTATAGGGCTGGCCTCTAGGAATGTTGTGGTGTGGGACAGGTACTTAGGGAAAAATTTATAGGACTGGCCTCTAGAAATGGTTTGATGTGGGACAGGTACCTAGAAAGTAATTATAGGGCTGGCCTCTAGGAATGTTGTGGTGTGGGACAGGTACCTAGGAAAGTAATTATAGGGCTGGCCTCTAGGAATGTTGTGGTGTGGGACAGGTACCTAGGAAAGTAATTATAGTGCTGGCCTCTAGGAATGTTGTGGTGTGGGACAGGTACTTAGGAAATTAATTATAGGGCTGGCCTCTAGGAATGTTGTGGTGTGGGACAGGTACCTAGGAAAGTAATTATAGGGCTGGCCTCTAGGAATGTTGTGGTGTGGGACAGGTACCTAGGGAAAAATTTATAGGTCTGGCCTCTAGGAATGTTGTGATGTGGGACAGGTACCTAGAAAGTAATTATAGGGCTGGCCTCTAGGAATGTTATGGTGTGGGACAGATACCTAGGAAAGTAATTATAGGGCTGGCCTCTAGGAATGTTGTGGTGTGGGACAGGTACCTAGGAAATTAATTATAGGGCTGGCCTCTAGGAATGGTGTGATTGGGAAAGGTACCTAGGGAAAAATTTATAGGTCTGGCCTCTAGGAATGTTGTGGTGTGGGACAGGTACCTAGGGATGTAATTATAGGGCTGGCCTCTAGGAATGTTGTGGTGTGGGACAGGTACCTAGGGATGTAATTATAGGGCTGGCCTCGAGGAATGTTGTGGTGTGGGACAGGTACCTAGGAAAGTAATTATAGGGCTGGCCTCTAGGAATGTTGTGGTGTGGGACAGGTACCTAGGAAATTAATTATAGGGCTGGCCTCTAGGAATGGTGTGATTGGGAAAGGTACCTAGGGAAAAATTTATAGGTCTGGCCTCTAGGAATGGTGTGATGTGGGACAGGTACCTAGAAAGTAATTATAGGGCTGGCCTCTAGGAATGTTATGGTGTGGGACAGGTACCTAGGAAAGTAATTATAGGGCTGGCCTCGAGGAATGTTGTGGTGTGGGACAGGTACCTAGGAAAGTAATTATAGGGCTGGCCTCTAGGAATGTTGTGGTGTGGGACAGGTACCTAGGGATGTAATTATAGGGCTGGCCTCTAGGAATGTTGTGGTGTGGGACAGGTACCTAGGGATGTAATTATAGGGCTGGCCTCTAGGAATGTTGTGGTGTGGGACAGGTACCTAGGAAAGTAATTATAGGGCTGGCCTCTAGGAATGTTGTGGTGTGGGACAGGTACCTAGGAAAGTAATTATAGGGCTGGGCTCTAGGAATGGTGTGATGTGGGACAGGTACCTAGAAAGTAATTATAGGGCTGGCCTCTAGGAATGTTGTGGTGTGGGACAGGTACCTAGGAAAGTAATTATAGGGCTGGCCTCTAGGAATGGTGTGATGTGGGACAGGTACCTAGAAAGTAATTATAGGGCTGGCCTCTAGGAATGTTGTGGTGTGGGACAGGTACCTAGGGATGTAATTATGGGGCTGGCCACTAGGAATGTTGTGGTGTGGGACAGGTACCTAGGAAAGTAATTATAGGGCTGGCCTCTAGGAATGTTGTGGTGTGGGACAGGTACCTAGGGATGTAATTATAGGGCTGGCCTCTAGGAATGTTTTGGTGTGGGACAGGTACCTAGGAAAGTAATTATAAGGCTGGCCTCTAGGAATGTTGTGGTTTGGGACAGGTACCTAGGAAAGTAATTATAGGGCTGGCCTCTAGGAATGTTGTGGTGTGGGACAGGTACCTAGGTAAGTAATTATACATTTTGTGGGACAGGTATCTGATACACAGGTAGTCATTAGCCTGAGATACATGGTTAATTAATGTATTGCACAAACTAGTTGTCTAGTCAATCAGACTTGTCCATTTAATTAGAGCGCAGCTCTTGGTCACCACAGACACCCAAGAATAGCTCTTTAATGTCGAGAGTATTGGACTCTTGACAAGGTTACCTCACTTCCAATATGTTTCCTCTATTTCTTGACTGTCCGAAAACCGATAGCAGTATTCCACAGAAAATCTTTTTCAGTCAACCGGAGATACCACTGCAAAATGTAATTTTGGTAAAACTTGATAACCTGAAATTTTTAGTTTTCAACTCAAGTTTGCAGTAAATGAAACAAACCAAGATGCAGAACTGCTGATCTTGTTTCATTCTCATGAGAAAAGTACATCGTAAATTGCTCCTTCAATACCAAAATATTTGGATAGCCAAGAATTTATATCTAAATCAAAATACATCTTGCCAAGTATATTCTGTAGAAACATAAATTCTTCTTCAAATCAATTAAAAATTTTTTCTTGTATCATAGAATGTAGTGGTATCCTGATGCTACCTATAACACTATTATTCAGGTGGCATCACAATTGTGGTACATTCCTATACTGTAAAGGAGGTAGATTCAAACAGAAAATATTACCTTGGTACATAATGATCAGTAAAACATTGTCTATCATCTGTGAGACGATACATCAGTGATGCAGGTGAAAGTCCCATATATACAACTTTAATTTTTACACCAAGGCAGAACAAGGCCTATATTTATTTGCTTTGTTTATGCCTTATTTCAGCCCTTTCAGTATTTATACATAAACAAGTTCTCAAGTGCATCGCTATTTTAAGGTTTTGTCTTATTCAAATCATCATCTAAGACTATACCTAATCTCAATTTTAATTGTGGTGTTTTGGCTGGTGTGATCAGAAGGTGTAATAGCATGATATGTATATGATCAATGAAGTAATAGGGACAGTAAAGACAAGCAAATTGTCAAATTTTCGAGGGAACCTGCTCCTTTATCAGGACACAAAATAAGAGACAAGTAGTACATACATTACATTACAAATATAGGACATGAAAAAAAACAAAATTTTGTATACTACAAATTTATTTCATTCAATACAAAACTGGTTGGAATAAATTTGGTGTCAGATGTTTAATTTTTAACATTCCACTTAATCAGTAGATAACCATGTCATACTCACTTGTCTTTCTCAGTGACAAGTTGTTATGAAAGTGTTGCCATTCATATTTTAGGTATGCAGAGAGGGGTGGTAAGTGTTACCACAAAGGCAGCTATACAGCATATGTGGTTCCTGGACCCTAGCCTTTGTCCTCAGGACATCAGTAACTACCCACCTTACCAAACCAGGACCACTGCCTACCTCTTGGTACAGAGTAGTGATGGTGCTGTGTTCTACATCATGGTTGGGGCAGGACTTCCCCTGGAATCCTATTATGTCTCACCACCGTGAGTATTGGTCACATGTTTAGTGAAGGGAAATATGTTGTCTGAATATATGTTGGGTGGTTTAAGTAACAAATGATAGAGAGAAATGCCATGACAAAGCAATTCAACAAAACACCAAAATAAAGCACAACATCAACTTACAGCAACAAATCAATAGCCAAACTCACCACAACAAATCACCACCCCAAACTCACCACAACAAATCACCACCCCAAACTCACCACAACAAATCAACACCCCAAACTCACCACAACAAATCAATAGTCAAACTCACCACAACAAATCAATAGTCAAACTCACCACAACAAATCACCACCCCAAACTCACCACAACAAATCACCACCCCAAACTCACCACAACAAATCACCACCCCAAACTCACCACAACAAATCACCACCCCAAACTCACCACAACAAATCACCACCCCAAACTCACCACAACAAATCACCACCCCAAACTCACCACAACAAATCACCACCCCACACCACCCCACACACACCACACCAAATCACCACCCCAAACTCACCACACCAAATCACCACCCCAAACTCACCACAACAAATCACCACCCCAAACTCACCACAACAAATCACCACCCCAAACTCACCACAACAAATCACCACCCCAAACTCACCACAACAAATCAAAAGTCAAACTCACCACAACAAATCACCACCCCAAACTCACCACAACAAATCACCACCCCAAACTCACCACAACAAATCAAAAGACAAACTCACCACAACAAATCACCACCCCAAACTCACCACAACAAATCACCACCCCAAACTCACCACAACAAATCAATAGTCAAACTCACCACAACAAATCAATAGTCAAACTCACCACAACAAATCACCACCCCAAACTCACCACAATAAATCACCACCCCAAACTCACCACAACAAATCACCACCCCAAACAAAAAAAAACCCCAAACTCACCACAACAAATCACCACCCCAAACTCACCACAACAAATCACCACCCCAAACTCACCACAACAAATCACCACCCCAAACTCACCACAACAAATCACCACCCCAAACTCACCACAACAAATCACCACCCCAAACTCACCACAACAAATCACCACCCCAAACTCACCACAACAAATCACCACCCCAAACTCACCACAACAAATCACCACCCCAAACTCACCACAACAAATCACCACCCCAAACTCACCACAACAAATCACCACCCCAAACTCACCACAACAAATCACCAACCCCACTCACCAAACTCAAACTCACCACAACAAATCACCACCCCAAACTCACCACAACAAATCACCACCCCAAACTCACCACAACAAATCACCACCCCAAACTCACCACAACAAATCACCACCCCAAACTCACCACAACAAATCACCACCCCACTCAACAACAAATCACTCACCACAACAAATCAAATCACCACAACCAAACAAACTCACCACAACAAATCACCAAACTCACCACAACAAATCACCACCCCAAACTCACCACAACAAATCACCACCCCAAACTCACCACAACAAATCACCACCCCAAACTCACCACAACAAATCACCACCCCAAACTCACCACAACAAATCACCACCCCAAACTCACCACAACAAATCACCACCCCAAACTCACCACAACAAATCACCACCCCAAACTCACCACAACAAATCACCACCCCAAACTCACCACAACAAATCACCACCCCAAACTCACCACAACAAATCAAATCAAACTCACCACAACAAATCACCACCCCAAACTCACCACAACAAATCACCACCCCAAACTCACCACAACAAATCACCACCCCAAACTCACCACAACAAATCACCACCCCAAACTCACCACAACAAATCAATAGTCAAACTCACCACAACAAATCAATAGTCAAACTCACCACAACAAATCACCACCCCAAACTCACCACAACAAATCACCACCCCAAACTCACCACAACAAATCACCACCCCAAACTCACCACAACAAATCACCACCCCAAACTCACCACAACAAATCACCACCCCAAACTCACCACAACAAATCACCACCCCAAACTCACCCCAAACTCACCACAACAAATCACCACCCCAAACTCACCACAACAAATCACAACCCCAAACTCACCAAAACAAATCAATAGTCAAACTCACCACAACAAATCACCACCCCAAACTCACCACAACAAATCACCACCCCAAACTCACCACAACAAATCACCACCCCAAACTCACCACAACAAATCAACACCCCAAACTCACCACAAAAAATTAAAAGTCAAACTCACCACAACAAATCACCACCCCAAACTCACCACAACAAATCACCACCCCAAACTCACCAAAACAAATCACCACCCCAAACTCACCACAACAAATCACCACCCCAAACTCACCACAACAAATCACCACCCCAAACTCACCACAACAAATCACCACCCCAAACTCACCACAACAAATCACCACCCCAAACTCACCACAACAAATCACCACCCCAAACTCACCACAACAAATGACCAACCCAAACTCACCACAACAAATCACCACCCCAAACTCACCACAACAAATCACCACCCCAAACTCACCACAACAAATCACCACCCCAAACTCACCACAACAAATCACCACCCCAAACTCACCACAACAAATCACCACCCCAAACTCACCACAACAAATCACCACCCCAAACTCACCACAACAAATCAATAGTCAAACTCACCACAACAAATCAACACCCCAAACTTACCACAACAAATCACCACCCCAAATCACCACCCCAAACTCACCACAACAAATCACCACCCCAAACTCACCACAACAAATGACCAACCCAAACTCACCAACAACAAATCACCACCCCAAACTCACCACAACAAATCACCACCCCAAACTCACCACAACAAATCACCACCCCAAACTCACCACAACAAATCACCACCCCAAACTCACCACAACAAATCACCACCCCAAACTCATCACAACAAATCACCACCCCAAACTCACCACAACAAATCACCACCCCAAACTCACCACAACAAATCACCAGTCAAACTCACCACAACAAATCACCACCCCAAACTCACCACAACAAATCAACAAATCACCACCCCAAACTCACCACAACAAATCACCACCCCAAACTCACCACAACAAATCACCACCCCAAACTCACCACAACAAATCACCACCCCAAACTCACCACAACAAATCACCACCCCAAACTCACCACAACAAATCACCACCCCAAACTCACCACAACAAATCACCACCCCAAACTCACCACAACAAATCAACCCCAAACTCCCAAACTCACCACACAACAAAACAAAATCAAACTCACCACAACAAATCACCACCCCAAACTCACCACAACAAATCACCACAACAAATCAACCCCAAAGTCAAACTCACCACAACAAATCAACAAATCACCCCAAACTCACCACAACAAATCACCACCCCAAACTCACCACAACAAATCAATAGTCAAACTCACCACAACAAATCACCACCCCAAACTCACCACAACAAATCACCACCCCAAACTCACCACAACAAATCACCACCCCAAACTCACCACAACAAATCACCACCCCAAACTCACCACAACAAATCACCACCCCAAACTCACCACAACAAATCACCACCCCAAACTCACCACAACAAATCAATAGTCAAACTCACCACAACAAATCACCACCCCAAACTCACCACAACAAATCACCACCCCAAACTCACCACAACAAATCACCACCCCAAACTCACCACAACAAATCACCACCCCAAACTCACCACAACAAATCACCACCCCAAACTCACCACAACAAATCACCACCCCAAACTCACCACAACAAATCACCACCAAACTCACCACCAAACTCACCACAACAAATCACCACCCCAAACCAAACAAATCACCACAAACAAATCAATAGTCAAACTCACCACAACAAATCACCACCCCAAACTCACCACAACAAATCACCACCCCAAACTCACCACAACAAATCACCACCCCAAACTCACCACAACAAATCACCACCCCAAACTCACCACAACAAATCAATAGTCAAACTCACCACAACAAATCACCACCCCAAACTCACCACAACAAATCACCACCCCAAACTCACCACAACAAATCACCACCCCAAACTCACCACAACAAATCAATAGTCAAACTCACCACAACAAATCACCACCCCAAACTCACCACAACAAATCAATAGTCAAACTCACCACAATAAATCACCACCCCAAACTCACCACAACAAATCACCACCCCAAACTCACCACAACAAATCACCACCCCAAACTCACCACAACAAATCAATACCCCAAACTCACCACAACAAATCAACACCCCAAACTCACCACAACAAATCAACACCCCAAACTCACCACAAAAAATCAATAGTCAAACTCACCACAACAAATCAACACCCCAAACTCACCACAACAAATCAATAGTCAAACTCACCACAACAAATCACCACCCCAAACTCACCACAACAAATCAACACCCCAAACTCACCACAACAAATCAATAGTCAAACTCACCACAATAAATCACCACCCCAAACTCACCACAACAAATCACCACCCCAAACTCACCACAACAAATCAATAGTCAAACTCACCACAACAAATCACCACCCCAAACTCACCACAACAAATCAATAGTCAAACTCACCACAACAAATCACCACCCCAAACTCACCACAACAAATCAACACCCCAAACTCACCACAACAAATCAACACCCCAAACTCACCACAACAAATCAACACCCCAAACTCACCACAACAAATCAACACCCCAAACTCACCACAACAAAGCAATAGTCAGACTCACCACAACAAATCAACACCCCAAACTTACCACAACAAAGCAATAGTCAGACTCACCACAGCAAATCAACACCCCAAACTCACCACAACAAATCAATAGTCAAACTCACCACAACAAATCAACACCCCAAACTCACCACAACAAATCAATAGTCAAACTCACCACAACAAATCAACACCCCAAACTCACCACAACAAATCACCACCCCAACTCCACAACAAATCACCACCCCAACTCACCACAACAAAGTATCTCCCACAAAAGATTAAGCTTCTCCTCAGCACGACAAAAGCAATACTCAAATTTACACCAGAGGAAAGACATTCAATAGCAACTATATCTATTCCTACAAATTATTTATATAGATACTCATCATAAATCAGAAAGGATGCTGACCGGTCTGAGAATTAGGTGATCTGTTGTATAGATATAGAGTCTGGTTAATGATGGAATCTAGGATCGTTTTGGTTCTGAGATGGTTTTTTTTTTTAATGTCAGTTAATTGTGGCATCATTTAGATACTTATATGAAGTATAAAATATGAAAGGTTACAATTTTGTCAACAGGAAAACAATTTGGAATGAGAAGTATGCCATTTTTATTGACTTATTTTAGTCGTTTTTGTTCTATTGTAGCGTGGATAAAGAAGAAAACATGTTTACACAAGTAGAACCCATTCAAGGAAAGCCAGAGCTGGTATGTTTTAATTTCCTATCACTTACAATACAGCTGGAAATTGTATATACAATTATATACACAGATATGTAATGTACACTTGTTCATGAAAATACAATCTTACACGAGTTTCAATAATTATGAGATTTAAGAAATAAATCTACTGTGTCCCTAACATTGTTACACTAGTAATAGGGTAGTTATATGATAAATGTACCATCAAATCCTCTGCCATGTTCTTGAAATATTTTGACCTTGCTGTGTCATTTCAGACGATGGTTGTGTTAAAGAAAGGTGCAATCCAGATAAAACACACCTTACATGGCAATGTTTTGTGTGAGACCAAACTACCACCTACCCACCAGGTTGTCACTCCCTGGGATCCTATCATCACAACAGCGTGCAGGGGGGAGCGTTTGTTTGTGAGAGGTAAGTAAAATGATCACCATCAGTGTCTATTGAAGTGTTCTGATTAAACATTCTTTAGTACCAGTTTTTGCCTAATGAAGATGTATTAACTTAAAACCTCGCTTTTATCCACAGGCTACAGTACATCTCCTGTATGAGATACACGTTTTAAAATATTTCAATCATTTGTAAGTTTCATGAATACCACTTTGTGTTAACTTTTACTTTCATGATCAAATATCATTTGAGCATGTCACTCAATGTCTGAATGATAGCTTGCGTATCGCTAGTGTAACTTTGTTCCCACCTTCAATAAATTTCAGCCATATACATCTTGGCAGCAACATAATATTTTCTCATACAGATCAATTTTTCACATGTGAAGAGGGTAAACCTGAATAGTAAACAGACCTCAAAAGGGTTCATGTTAATTCATTATCTCTGTTGACAACCATGGAAAGATTTCAACCTGTGTGTCAATAACATCATGGAATGATATACAAATAAAGGCTCTGACTGGTTTTGACTTTTTTTATTTGTTTTTGAATGTGAGGATGGTTGAAAATGTATTTGGTTCAAATATATTTCTTCCTAGAAATAGGATAATGGTTTAATTTGATTTTAGAATTCTATGACTTTGAGAATAAATGAAGGGGCATGATGTCATGGAGAGGTCTAGAACAGGTCAATGATCTATAACACGTTTATGGATTTGCAGGTTTCAACTAAATTTCAGTAATGGCTTAAAGATTTTGTCAACTTGAGTTTAAAATCTTATTTATCTCCCAATTTAAGAGTTGAGTTGTTTTTATGATGAGATAAACATCACAGGTACAAGAAATAAAAATCTTTCATTTTTTCTCGTTGTGGTGTGCATGCTTGTATTGAAAACATCAGAGTCAGTGTACCACTTATGTTATTTATTATAGTCAGGAAGAATTGAAATTAAATAAGTACTGAATATGTTCTTTACTTGTGAAGTATACCCTTTACACAATGATGTGATATTACTTTGTGTAGGAGAGGCTAAAGAACAAAAACCAACTGAACTGGAAGGCGAGGAACAGGAACCTCAACCAGAAGTCGAGTCCGTGGCAAGTATGTTGTTTGTCTTTAATCTCAAGGAATTTTCTCCCCTCGAGGAATTCATGGGTGCAGAAAGAACACCTTTGCCGTTTACGATCCATACCACTATTGACAAGCGGGTGGATGCCTTAATGACAGAAAGGTAAGGACGCCTCTACCTTATTTCGCCTTCTGTTTCTGATTATATTTACCTTGAATTACATATATACAAATAATTGATGCATTCTTTTTCTCCTTTTTCTCATTTCTTGTCTTGACAAAATAATCGACCAAGCAGTAACCTACTTTTCTAAAATATGTACCTCAAAAGGGGAGATTTTAATTCAATGTTGAAATGATGAGGCGATTAAAAATTGCTCCGGTTTGTATTGAAATGTGGTTTGAAAACTTTCCATAGAATCGCCCAGCAGGCTTTACGTAAAACACGAATGCAGGATCGATGGGGCATAATGAAGGAGGAAATCTGGGCGATACTGCAATACAAAGATCAAGCAGAGAAGAAAGCAGACCAAAGACCCATCTACGTGAGTATATTTGTTCCTTTGATATGTTCCCATCTGATGTTTCTTTCAATTTCATTTTCTGACCTGTTTCTATTTCATCATCTAATCAACAAACACAATCAAGAAAGTTGCCAACAACTGTAGACAATATCCCTGTACAGTGTCAGAGATTACATCTGTGAACACTGGTTTAATGATTGTTTGTAAATCATCATATGAAATTTTACTGACATTACACAATGTTCTATCTCTGGAAAGTGAAAACGAACTACAGCATCAGAAGGGAAGCGAGTCTTTGTTCTGTTAATTGGGTTTGTATTTAACAATTTGATCAATTAGAAATGTAGGTGGCTAGTTGTTCTGGTTGTGTTGATACTTCGCAGTTTTGAGCATTTTTTGCCGAAGTTAGAATTCAATGAAATCGGCTGTCAGGCATTGTTGTGGTTGATGTTAGAATATCTAGAATTTCAGTAAATCATGTTTGTTTTAATGATATTAGTATTAAGTTTTTAATATCAAGTATTAAATGATGTTCTTAATCATGCTATTGTATGTATTTTATTTCAAAAGTACTATTTTTTGTGATCAATTATACTGTAGAACTTAAACCCTGTCATCAGTGAAGTTATACCTATTGTATTTGTTACAATATATATATGACCTTGTTTAGCTGTGATTGTCATCATGAAGGTTATCATTGCAATGTCTTAACTTCATGGTGTTATATGCAAATCAGATCTTCAAATAAAGAGATAACAAACTCATACAAATACTTCATTTTAACAAAGGCTTGGTAAAATGAAAAATTTTAAGATTTGTTACATAAATTGTAAATAAATGTAAGGGCATCTACGATTATCTCTATATATATATATTGTTGACATGTCAGTATTTTCATGATGTTTTCATATAAATGTAACTTTCTCCTGGCAGAACTATCAAACAATTTACCATTATGAACAGGTATGTACTCACTAGTCAGTGTAAAGGTGCAAAACTCTCCCACTCACTTGCTGTGTGTCTATCACTGAGTTGTCTTTCTTTGCATGGTTTTCCCTGCAGAATTTATCATTAAATGCTTTTTGGTCTGTGGTGTGTATATTACTAATAGAACTCCTCCATGTTACATCAGAATTTGTGTTGCATTTCCTTAAATCCTGAACCGCCAAGTCTTGTTTTCTTTCGTTAAAAAAAGTTGTTACATATATACGCACTTTGTACTAAGGCAGTTTTTCAAATAGGTACATTTGTACTTTGTAACCGAAAAATTCAAAATGATTTAATTGTTTATACAAAGGTTTTGATGAACTACATGTCAGTGCGCGAGTTCATCAGAATTACTCATGAAAAAGTTTTTGTAATCATTTTTTTTGGTATATAAATTTAGTATATATTCCTGAATTAGCTGTAACTGAGAATCATTTAGGCCTATCCTAAGCACAGTTTTGTTATCTTTTATAATGATGTCACAGAAAGTTACGCACAGAATCAAAATGTGTAGAATATCAAACAATAAGGATCAATCTGATGACGTCACTAATTTACTTTCTGTGATAAAATTTAAGAAGGGAGATAATTACCCCCTGTCAATACACAAGGATGAGAATAGGCTGACAATAATACAACGGTTATTAAACAAATATTTTTTTCAAAGCAAAGTTGTAGGTGCGTCACTAATGGAAAAAAATTAACTAGTTTTCAATTCTTCTTCAAATATTTAAAAAATAAATCAGTTGTACAGTTGCAGTTTTTAATAACACATTGTCTGTTAATTGTGGAGGATAGGTTTCTATAGGTGCTTTTATCACATAAAGTATTATATGTTGGCAGAGTTCTGTCATTGAAAATCCAATTTAATTGTTAAATATACAAATCATGATTTCATAATGGCATATAAATCATATTGACAATGAAACAAGATTTCTAAATCCATGTACAGGTTCTTTAATACCAATTAAACATTGAGTGCAGCACACATCTCTAGTCTGTTGAAGTTAGGACAGTAAAGATTGACAACATCTGCACTGCTTCTCCCTGTTGAATCAGAACATCATAATGCACAAATACTGTTAGGTCATCGCGTACATGGGTTGCAATTTTACACTGAATGACTTATTTGTCTGTATTTGCATATTGAGTAATAAATCAAGTGAACAATGCTGTGATAATCAAGATGTTATCTGTTCAATTTCAAAAAATGTAAAAAATCTATAAACACCCACTCATTTACTGTTGATCTGGTAAAGTGCATGTTACTATGGTAATGAATTGAAAAGAAACACCGTCATTCAGTATAGCTCTGGTGTATATATGTGTTAGAATGTTCTGATTATCTGGTGCAGAACCCGTCCTATATCTCCTCTTCATCAATACCTATTTATCGTAACTAACTGATATTAAGTAGAAATACATGTGTTGTATGATGTTTTTATAATCTTCCTTTTTATAATCATTCTGCAGAATAATATGATGATTTTTTTTCAGTGGCATGTTTGTTTAAAATTGTGAAATTGGGAAATAAAAAATAAGGATAATATAGTAAACAAAATCACCCTTTTTTATCACCATGTAAACGATGATTTTTCGTCATATAAAATTGGTTACTTAAACATCCAGTGGTTTTACTCTATCTCAAAGAATAAGAAAACAGACCCCTTCAATTTGACTTTTTTAGATAAATTTGAGTTCCTTGTCATAGTTGTTATATATATTACCATATGTAATAACCACTTGTTATGTGACCTATTTCATTTTAATATATATTTAGATGTACTGTTTTGTGAAGTACAACTAACATAGATAGGTGTATTTGATATGTGTTAAGATGTGCTGTTTTGTGTACTGAAAAATGATATCAGTGGTTATATTTTCTATGCATTGAGATGTGCTGTTTTGTGTACAAACAGGATTTAAAGGTAATGTAGTACATTAGTTATATTACAGCTTGAATCTGCGGCTATCTTAACACACTGCACAGGAATTAAACTACCTCAAACATGTTCACAGACTCTCAGCACTTTCGTGTTTGTTTAAACAGTTTCTCAAAGGTCTTATTTACAACAAATACTATGCACTTCTCTTGTAGGAAATATCTTTTGCAATAACATATGAGTTTTTTGGTCAGATGAAAACAAAATAACTACTTGTGCATGTTTTCTTATCAATTTTCTGAAGATAATAACACACGGACATATTCTGTAAGGTGTCCTAGATCATCAAAGAAATGTACAGAAGACATATAAGAGAATAGTATCTTTAGATACAGATTTAGAAATAGACACAGTTGAGCTTAGTAATAAGATAAACTGCATCATATAGCTGGTTTGTCCTTCTCAGATTTGTCATTTTTGCTTAGGCCAAAATTTGAAACCTAGAAGGTAGCTGAGGGAACAAGATAAGGTGTGCTTTAGCAGTCGTATATTTGGTTATTTTCAGGTTACTCATAATCAAAACAAAAAAAAGAGAGAGAGAGAGAAAAACAATATTGAGCACATGTATATATTCCGAGTCCTGTCTTCTCTCATTTTATTTATAGAACAGTATTTATATCCCAGTAATACATCCTTTCAGCAGACTTAACATTCAAATGGATTAAAACATGGCATTCAGGTTACAGCAAAACTTGAGAACCCGGGTACCAGAAGTCGTCCAGTACATGCAATCTCAGTGATTGTACAAGACATAAGTGAATAGCACCTAAATACAGTAAGGCCAGATAGTGGCCAATTGTTGTTACAATTAGTCTAAGATAAAGTCGTATTACAGATTGCAGTGTGATCAAATATCACAGAACACACTTCATAAATTGGTGGGCTCGGATCAGTGTTGGTTAGATTTCTCGATACCTTTTCAATATTTAGGACAATTTTGTGTAGTCATATTATTGAACTTTGGTTTTAACACCACAGTGCAATATTATTCAAGGCAGTGGTGGTAACCTGCTTCCATGGTGTTTTTTTTTCTAAAATAAGTCAGCAGCGTCTTTTTATTAGTTCAGTTGGTGATATCCAAATTCTAAGCATATGTCCACATGTTTAAGTTTTTGTAATATTTGGACTAATGAAGTAATATTGGAATGGTAGAATACATTAGCAGTGTGTTTAGGTTAAGCAATGCATCAGATAACCTGCTAATACTGTATCTATGTTTGTTTTAAACAGTAATTTCCAACAACTTAACATAAAGAATTATTAATTTGTAATATGTTTGATGTTAGGATAGCTTTTCTTCAGCTTATCTTTACTGTCTACTAGTGTTGTGCTGTGAGATAACAGTAATATATTCGTGTTAACTAGAGTTTTTGGTATACAAATATGTGATTATTGTACTTGATTTCATCTTTACAGTAGTCCTTTGTAAGCTGACGGTATATGGTGAGGACCTATGAACCATTATTGTAGATATTGTCACATGCTTATGTATATATTATATATTCTATATATATATCTATCACTCTGTCAGCCTCTGGCATAATAAACACTTTTTCGTATTCCTGCAGCATGACATCTTTTTTTTTATACCTCCGCTTCCAGCAATCACGTGATAAGAGAGCAGGCTCGACTACATTATTTTGTTATGTCTGTCTCCTAACACTACTTTTGTACAAATATATATATATGGTCCAGTCCAAAAAGAGGGAGGGGCACTTGGTGGACTTTTATTGATATCATTCAATAGACACCAGTAAAGAGAAGATATTTGTCCTTTTTTCTTGAATCGTCAATAAAGTCTTATTAACACAGACACATTGGTAGTACATTTATCTACATTTTATACCAGTTTACATTAGTTATTAACAAAGGTGTTATTTTAACCCTCTAGACTAGTGATGAATATTAAAAGTGATACGTTACAGAAACAACATATCCCGCACTTATGCTTTGTCATGGCAGCAAGTTTTCACTGAAGCTTTTTGTGGAAAGCATGCATCGCTTCTGAATCAACATCTAAAAAACCTCTTCTTTTTTTGTAAATTTTACTAACCAGTATTTTGATACTGATTGTACAACTGAGTAGAGGAAATTTAACATAACCTTAATAATGTCACTTTAAAAATGTCCTTGTATACACTGAAACACAGTTAAAACTCTTCAGTGTTTTGTGCTTTATCGCAAACAGCTTTTTCATTAAATCTGTTGGAACTTATCACTAGTATTAATATCCATGTTCTGTATTGCTAAGGCACTAATTCTGAAACAACTTGTCAATATTCATCAAACGAGGTTAATCATAAGTTTTGAAGTAATCCCACTGTGGCAAGGTTGATGAAGCTTGGGGTTTGTCATTTCTTTATATTGGGGTCATTTGTTTAAGGCATATGGCAATGCTGTGGTTCTAGGGCAGCTTTTTAGGTGAATAGAAATGCATGATTCGAATGCTTACACAATATTTTTTCTCCTTTTTCTATTAGTTTTAGAAGAAACGTTATTTGAAGGATAGCACAAGATGATATCTTTTTTCTACTTAAATTCAGTAACCATAATGGAAAGTTAACAAAAATATTGTTCTTTATTTTCAGAGGTTGATTAAATATTTATGTGAGCCGGTTTTTCTTGTTTTGTAAGATGGCGACAATTGCATGAATTTACTTACAGAACAAACTGCTTCTATGTGTAATGTGTAAAACCTTTGTTACCACTTTAGCATGTATATGTACATAGTATTCGTTCAGTTTCCCTCATGGAATTTTTCATGACCAATCTAGTAAAAAAATTACTTAAGAATGATGTATTTAAGGAGGAAATTTTGGTATCAGTTATCTAAGATTTTGGTATCAGTTACCTAAGATTTTGGTATCAGTTATCTAAGATTTTGGTATCAGTTATCTAAGATTTTGGTATCAGTTACCTAAGATTTTGGTATCAGTTACCTAAGATTTTGGTATCAGTTATCTAAGATTTTGGTATCAGTTATCTAAGATTTTGGTATCAGTTATCTAAGATTTTGGTATCGGTTACCTAAGATTTTGGTATCAGTTACCTATCAGTTACCTAAGATTTTGGTATCAGTTATCTAAGATTTTGGTATCAGTTATCAGTTATCTAAGATTTTGGTATCAGTTATCTAAGATTTTTTGGTAAGATTTTGGTATCAGTTATCTAAGAGAGTTTTAAGATTTTGGTATCAGTTATCTAAGATTTTGGTGTCAGTTACCTAAGATTTTGGTATCAGTTAGCTAAGATTTTGGTATCAGTTACCTAAGATTTTGGTATCAGTTATCTAAGATTTTGGTATCAGTTATCTAAGATTTTGGTATCAGTTATCTAAGATTAAGATTTTGGTATCAGTTACCTAAGATTTTGGTATCAGTTACCTAAGATTTTGGTATCAGTTACCTAAGATTTTGGTATCGGTTACCTAAGATTTTGGTATCGGTTATCTAAGATTTTGGTATCAGTTACCTAAGATTTTGGTATCAGTTATCTAAGATTTTGGTATCGGTTACCTAAGATTTTGGTATCAGTTATCTAAGATTTTGGTATCAGTTACCTAAGATTTTGGTATCAGTTACCTAAGATTTTGGTAGATTTTTATCAGTTACCTAAGATTTTGGTCGGTTCTAAGATTTTGGTATCAGTTACCTAAGATTTTGGTATCAGTTATCTAAGATTTTGGTATCAGTTATCTAAGATTTTGGTATCGGTTACCTAAGATTTTGGTATCAGTTATCTAAGATTTTGGTATCAGTTATCTAAGATTTTGGTATCAGTTATCTAAGATTTTGGTATCAGTTATCTAAGATTTTGGTATCAGTTACCTAAGATTTTGGTATCGGTTACCTAAGATTTTGGTATCGGTTACCTAAGATTTTGGTATCAGTTACCTAAGATTTTGGTATCAGTTACCTAAGATTTTGGTATCAGTTACCTAAGATTTTGGTATCGGTTACCTAAGATTTTGGTATCGTTTGATATCGGTTACCTAAGATTTTGGTATCGGTTATCTAAGATTTTGGTATCGGTTACCTAAGATTTTGGTATCAGTTACCTAAGATTTTGGTATCAGTTATCTAAGATTTTGGTATCAGTTACCTAAGATTTTGGTATCAGTTACCTAAGATTTTGGTATCGGTTACCTAAGATTTTGGTATCGGTTACCTAAGATTTTTTCGGTTATCTAAGATTTTGGTATCAGTTATCTAAGATTTTGGTATCGGTTACCTAAGATTTTGGTATCAGTTATCTAAGATTTTGGTATCGGTTATCTAAGATTTTGGTATCAGTAACCTAAGATTTTGGTATCGGTTATCTAAGATTTTGGTATCGGTTACCTAAGATTTTGGTATCAGTTATCTAAGATTTTGGTATCGGTTACCTAAGATTTTGGTATCAGTTATCTAAGATTTTGGTATCAGTTACCTAAGATTTTGGTATCAGTTACCTAAGATTTTGGTATCAGTTACCTAAGATTTTGGTATCGGTTATCTAAGATTTTGGTATCGGTTACCTAAGATTTTGGTATCAGTTATCTAAGATTTTGGTATCGGTTATCTAAGATTTTGGTATCGGTTACCTAAGATTTTGGTATCTAAGATTTTGGTGTCAGTTACCTAAGATTTTGGTATCGGTTATCTAAGATTTTGGTATCAGTTACCTAAGATTTTGGTATCAGTTACCTAAGATTTTGGTATCAGTTATCTAAGATTTTGGTATCAGTTATCTAAGATTTTGGTATCAGTTATCTAAGATTTTGGTATCAGTTATCTAAGATTTTGGTATCGGTTACCTAAGATTTTGGTATCGGTTACCTAAGATTTTGGTATCAGTTACCTAAGATTTTGGTATCAGTTACCTAAGATTTTGGTATCGGTTATCTAAGATTTTGGTATCGGTTATCTAAGATTTTAGTTAGATTTTTATCTAAGTTATCCTAAGATTTTGGTATCAGATTTTGGTACCTAAGATTTTGTTATCTAAGATTTTGGTATCGGTTATCTAAGATTTTGGTATCGGTTACCTAAGATTTTGGTATCAGTTACCTATCAGTTACCTAAGATTTTGGTATCGGTTACCTAAGATTTTGGTATCAGTTACCTAAGATTTTGGTATCAGTTTTGATTTTGGTTACCTAAGATTTTGGATTGATTTTGGTATCAGTTACCTAAGATTTTGGTATCAGTTACCTAAGATTTTGGTATCAGTTATCTAAGATTTTGGTATCAGTTATCTAAGATTTTGGTATCAGTTATCTAAGATTTTGGTATCAGTTACCCATCACTTACCTAAGATTTTGGTATCAGTTATCTAAGATTTTGGTATCAGTTATCTAAGATTTTGGTATCAGTTACCTAAGATTTTGGTATCAGTTATCTAAGATTTTGGTATCAGTTATCTAAGATTTTGGTATCAGTTACCTAAGATTTTGGTATCAGTTACCTAAGATTTTGGTATCAGTTACCTAAGATTTTGGTATCAGTTATCTAAGATTTTGGTATCGGTTATCTAAGATTTTGGTATCAGTTATCTAAGATTTTGGTATCAGTTACCTAAGATTTTGGTATCAGTTATCTAAGATTTTGGTATCTAAGATTTTGGTATCATACCTAAGATTTTGGTATCAGTTATCTAAGATTTTGGTATCGGTTACCTAAGATTTTGGTATCAGTTATCTAAGATTTTGGTATCAGTTACCTAAGATTTTGGTATCAGTTACCTAAGATTTTGGTATCGGTTACCTAAGATTTTGGTATCAGTTACCTAAGATTTTGGTATCAGTTATCTAAGATTTTGGTATCGGTTACCTAAGATTTTGGTATCAGTTACCTATCAGTTACCTAAGATTTTGGTATCGGTTACCTAAGATTTTGGTATCAGTTACCTAAGATTTTGGTATCGGTTATCTAAGATTTTGGTATCAGTTATCTAAGATTTTGGTATCAGTTATCTAAGATTTTGGTATCAGTTATCTAAGATTTTGGTATCAGTTATCTAAGATTTTGGTATCAGTTACCTAAGATTTTGGTATCAGTTATCTAAGATTTTGGTATCAGTTATCTAAGATTTTGGTATCAGTTACCTAAGATTTTGGTATCAGTTATCTAAGATTTTGGTATCAGTTATCTAAGATTTTGGTATCAGTTATCTAAGATTTTGGTATCAGTTACCTAAGATTTTGGTATCAGTTACCTAAGATTTTGGTATCAGTTATCTAAGATTTTGGTATCGGTTACCTAAGATTTTGGTATCAGTTATCTAAGATTTTGGTATCGGTTACCTAAGATTTTGGTATCAGTTATCTAGGATTTTGGTATCGGTTATCTAAGATTTTGGTATCAGTTACCCATCACTTACCTAAGATTTTGGTATCAGTTATCTAAGATTTTGGTATCAGTTATCTAAGATTTTGGTATCAGTTATCTAAGATTTTGGTATCAGTTATCTAAGATTTTGGTATCAGTTATCTAAGATTTTGGTATCGGTTATCTAAGATTTTGGTATCTAAGATTTTGGTATCGGTTATCTAAGATTTTGGTATCGGTTACCTAAGATTTTGGTATCAGTTATCTAAGATTTTGGTATCGGATTTTGGTATCGGTTATCTAAGATTTTGGTATCAGTTACCTAAGATTTTGGTATCAGTTATCTAAGATTTTGGTATCGGTTACCTAAGATTTTGGTATCAGTTACCTAAGATTTTGGTATCAGTTATCTAAGATTTTGGTATCAGTTATCTAAGATTTTGGTATCAGTTACCTAAGATTTTGGTATCGGTTACCTAAGATTTTGGTATCAGTTACCTATCAGTTATCTAAGATTTTGGTATCAGTTATCTAAGATTTTGGTATCAGTTATCTAAGATTTTGGTATCAGTTACCTAAGATTTTGGTATCAGTTACCTAAGATTTTGGTATCAGTTATCTAAGATTTTGGTATCGGTTACCTAAGATTTTGGTATCAGTTATCTAAGATTTTGGTATCGGTTACCTAAGATTTTGGTATCAGTTACATATCAGTTATCTAAGATTTTGGTATCAGTTACCTAAGATTTTGGTATCAGTTATCTAAGATTTTGGTATCAGTTATCTAAGATTTTGGTATCAGTTATCTAAGATTTTGGTATCAGTTACCTAAGATTTTGGTATCGGTTACCTAAGATTTTGGTATCAGTTACCTAAGATTTTGGTATCAGTTATCTAAGATTTTGGTATCAGTTACCTAAGATTTTGGTATCGGTTATCTAAGATTTTGGTATCAGTTACCTAAGATTTTGGTATCAGTTATCTAAGATTTTGGTATCAGTTATCTAAGATTTTGGTATCAGTTATCTAAGATTTTGGTATCGGTTACCTAAGATTTTGGTATCAGTTACCTAAGATTTTGGTATCAGTTATCTAAGATTTTGGTATCGGTTACCTAAGATTTTGGTATCAGTTATCTAAGATTTTGGGTATCAGTTATCTAAGATTTTGGTATCAGTTACCTAAGATTTTGGTATCAGTTACCTAAGATTTTGGTATCAGTTATCTAAGATTTTGGTATCGGTTACCTAAGATTTTGGTATCAGTTACCTATCAGTTATCTAAGATTTTGGTATCAGTTACCTATCGGTTACCTAAGATTTTGGTATCAGTTATCTAAGATTTTGGTATCGGTTACCTAAGATTTTGGTATCAGTTATCTAAGATTTTGGTATCGGTTACCTAAGATTTTGGTATCAGTTATCTAAGATTTTGGTATCGGTTATCTAAGATTTTGGTATCAGTTATCAAAGATTTTGGTATCGGTTACCTAAGATTTCCTTGACTTTCTGTTGATTTTCAGGAGTTATTTTTATTTATTTATTTTTAATGTTTTTATATCTTATTTATATTGACATTAAATACTCAGTATTTAACTTTCATATTTCAACTACATTAATGTCCTTTTTCGACTTCAAAAAGATTCATATAGACAATTCTTGATATATGTATAATCGACAACCATTTAAAAGTAATATTCCATTATTTAGAAATGATGTTGTCATGGATACGACTTAATTGACATTGATTCTTTTTTCAGACTCCTGGTTCCATCGGATGGGGAACTGCCCTGTTCAGTTAAAGAGAAGAAAAGACAGTTATTAATATATAATTTTTTCAGAAAAGGACAGAAAACTTTCATGTACGATAAATCGAAAGCAAATCAGTGCAGGTGTCCTGAAAGCGGAAAGATGATTCAATATGTGTATATAACAGAAGAAATAAATCTAATTTGTATATATAGTGTACATATATTTGAAGTCATTGACTTTGCTTGTGATACATTTTGTAAGATAAACTAATAAAAATGTATTTGTTTTGTTATCAAACCGTTGTGCAATCAGCTTTTCATTATTTCGTAAATAGGAATATTTTAGCGACGCTATTGTTTGCGTAAAACTGTCATTTAATAACAAACAAATCTGTGAAAACAAAAGGTATCTAAATAGAAATATTTACGGATTTACAAGGAACTCAGATCCCTAAAAATATTTTTAAAGATAAAAGGATAACAAAATCTATTACATTCTCAAAAATCATTTTCCACAAAAAATTTTCGAATAACGGATTGCAATTGAAATGTAATCAAGACAATGTTTTTTTTTTTTTTTTTTATTTATTCCAAATCGATAAATTTAGCTTCCCGTGTGTCTGTTAAGTAAATCAATCTATACGCCAAATTCATAATGCATTCCTCAAAGTTGGTAAACCTGATGGATAGACTCACAAAACCAAACTCCGACAGATGCAGGTTGATGAAGATTGAGGAGGGAAAGTTTTACGAATGTCGCCATGGTTTCATTTGGAAATCCTCTGTTTACGTGTACAGTATGACGATAGGTGCGATGTTTGTTGGTATACCAGTTGATTTGTTGTTGTTTACATGTTTTTTTTTATATGAGAACTGACATTAATGACTTGGATTAACACATATTTACATGACAGGTGCTGTCGATGATGCGAAGAGAGCAATTACCCTTCTAGAACACCTGTAGTTTTTTTCTTTTGTTATGATAAGCGCTAGCTTCATTGGTTTGAGTTTGAATTAAGATTCTGTCGACCAGTCGATGCTTTCCTTGTTGTTCCTATCGGTACGGTTTAGATTATTTACGCCTGAAGACTAGGTATAATCTTCCGTCTTTTTCACTCATGGGGCTACTCAAATCTAAATCAATGTGAAGAAGAAAACAAAGAAATGATCATATTTCACACCTATAGATAGATTTCCGATGACGTCACATAATTCTCACAATTTCATACGCCGCCATCGTGTGTGTCAAGCGATTGTTTAGTGTAGAACAGACGTTTGTATTAGATACCGTGGTGTTGACCAAACTGGCAGATCATCTACATTTATCGCCTATATATCTTTATTTCTTCTGTTTAGTAATTCATTTCTCCGATCTCCAGCTAGGAAACAATCAGAAGATCGCAACTATGCAGTCTGGAATATCACTAGTACCCGAGTTAGAAATGTTGATTCGAGAGTGCGTGTAAAAGAAACCTGTATGGCACCTTAGTTTGATGTGGTGATCGTAAGTCATCGGTACACGTTTTATTGATATTATTCGTCACGCTTATAAATCTTTCCTTAAGATTACACGAATAAAGAAAGGTTTCACCGAGGTTATACCATTTACATATACCAACGTTATACACGTGCGCACGCGCGTTTCATCACGCCCTAAATGGACGCAGGGATGTTCCTGTACATTGTTCGTGCGTACCAAACACTTGTCTTTGCCATCTCTATAGCGGCTTCATTGCATGGGGATTTAAATCAAACTTAACACACTAATAAAGGACCATTTTCAGGTTACAACGATCAAGGTCACTATTTCTTTTATTTTTAGAAAATCTTTGTCAGCGTTCTAGTGAATATATTTTTCTTGAGCAAATTCGACCAATCTGCACGCACTTATAAAAAGGACGATATTATCAAACAAAGTTTAAGTGTCATGATAGTATTGTCAATGTAAGGTCATTGTTACTATTTATAACTAATTCTCAGCTCTCTTACAGCTTCTCTTCTTGAAATATTTTAACCAAACTTTACGTTCATGTAAAGGACCATGATAGCATGGCCTAGTTTGAGTTTCAAGGTTGTAGAATCAAGGTCAAGGCCATCGTTGCCATCTATATAATCGTTGTCCGCACTCTGGTGACTTTACTCCCCGAGGAGTTTCAAACATTTTTGAATCAATATAAAGAAGACAAGTTTGAGTTACAAGATTGTAGAGTCAATGTCACCCTTACTATCTGGAGAAAACCTTTGTCAGCACTTCAGTCATTGAGGGATTTTGATAAAACTTTTTAAGTGAAGATAGAACCTCGAGGGGGTGTTTTGTTTATGATGCCTTGTTGACATTACATTTCACTTATATACCAATGCTTCATATTGATATCTCATTATACAGACACACAAAATTTTCATAGAGATAACTTCACACATATTAACATGTATTTAAATTACATTTCACACTTACACAAATGCTATATTGAGAGTATTTTTCATGTTTTCCGGTTGTATTTATCGAGATTACTCGACACGCGTAGATACCATGAGTATTTTTCCAGATTACTTGACACACGTATATGTCCACCAAGAGTATTATTTTTTTTATTACTTCACACACGTAACTATGAAGGATATTCGTTGAGATTACCCGACATACGCATACACAAAGGGTACTCGTTTGGATAACTTGATACCATTTGAGATTATGCTTGTTTAAGTTATTTGTTTCATACAAAATGAAATACGAATATGTCTGTAATTTGAAATATTACTGAGAATGTTGTATATAGAGATAATACTTACTACCTAAGTTTCCATTAGAGGAAATTTGTTGCAAATTTTTCATTTTTCTCCATAGATTTTTAATTGTCTGTAAACGAGAGAGAAGCTGACATGGTGATGTATATCAAAACTACGACACCACTGTGATCGTTTCTCCTTCTTGTTAAATCAATTGAGTTATAGAGGAAGTAGAATTCACATTGTATGATAACAGACATATTGTATGAGAGATGAACCGTCTGCCCATCAGCTATAACACCTCGATGCGTGAACGGCCATATAAATCACTGCGTTACGCAGCCATTTTGTTCACAGTTATTAAATTGAGATAACTTGCACCAAAGGAATAGCTTTTTGACGTTTTCTTGATTCCTCGCTGTGATAAAGTAGACAAATCGCGCATAGAATATACGACCTAATTCGTGTCGCTGTTAAATCTATGAAAAGTACAACGTTAAGGTTAAGGTATTTATAACATGTAAAATATTCTCTCGTACAGAAAATCATTGCAGATTCAGTGTCAACTTTTTTACTTAACCTCTTACAAAGGAAGTTTTGAGTTTTAATTACGATTTGTGAATGTCCTCCAACATAAATTTTCGAAATCATCAATTTTACCCGCTCTAAATTGAAAATAAACGAAGTGATAATTAAATTGCACTTTGTATTAGGCTGCAGATAGTAAATAAACGGTTATCCTCAACTTTTACCCCATTCTCAGTAGAAAACGAAGTGACAAGTAACAATTAAATGACACCTTGTATTAGGCTGCAGATAGTGAGGAAGCGATCATCGTCAACTTTTACCCAATTCTCAGTAGAAAATAATTGACAAGTAACATTTTATTATTTAAATTATATATATATATATTATATTAGGCTTCAGGAAGTGAAGAAACGATAATCAACATTAACATAATGGGGAAATTGAACTTTTAAAATATACACCATGGAACAGGCGTGCTGGCAACCATTTCAACAGCTGAACTGATAAAACCACATTATGCACAAGATGGACAAACCGCACTTTTTATAAGGGAAATACGGTAGGTAACGCTGAGTGACCTGATACGGTAGGTAAAGACTGAGTGACCTGATAATTCCAGGATCTGTTTTTTTGACACACACTGAACAGAGCACTCAGGGGAAAATTACCTCGTGTAATTCTAGTCTATTGTTTTGAGTGTAAAGACAGCCCGTATGTATGTCTGGCAAGACCCTTTTGTAAGTATATATACAACCATGCGAAAAAACGAACATCATCGAAAAGACGCATAGCAAGCTACGTTAATATCTATTCATAAAGTCGGACCAGTATTTATCCAATGTATGTACACGTAATTCAAATAAATAAACTATCTAAGCATTTTGAAATTTACAAACAATTTATAAGACATTGCAGTCTTTTATGGACTATCTCATCAAAAATATTACAAAAGATATCGCCATTAGATATAATTTTATGAAATATTGAATGAATGTAGCAATGTAACTCTTCGGGATACAAAAATATTTAATGCTTAATATTGGGAATGAAATATTGAAATCTTTCAAAATGTTTACTTTTGGTATTTGTCATGTTTGAGTTTACGTGCTTGTCCTGACAGGGTAATTTGTAAGGGTGCTGCGTGGGATTGTAGGGCTGTCATCAACAGACGATTGTTGGTACTGAAAAATGCCTGGCAGCTAATGAAGGTGAGTTGAGAAACGAATATCTTTGGTTGTGTAGAAAACGTCATCGCCAGCAAACAATTCCACATGCCTGGTAACCAAGGCAGGTGTGTAGATTATGTGTAATAGTCATTATATTGGGAAAAACAAGGGATTACTGAAAGAAAAAGGAAAAATCTACACTCAGACCCTTTACTACGCGGAGGATAAAATCCGGAAGGAATTTATGTATCTACATCAACCGTTTTGTGACAATAAATACTTGACGTTTCGTTGATTATTTGGCTCCATTATCAGCTAGGCCAATATACAGCTGGACGTGCATCCCATAATTATAAAATATTGACCATGATAATTTACACACCCAACATGCAGGTAACAATTTTGTTGCCTCACAATTATCCTGCAAGTTTTGCTATTTCAAATGAGAAAGTATCGGGTCTCATTTGGAAATGACCTCTCCAGTCGGGTCTCACTTGGAAATGACCTCTCCAGTCGGGTCTCACTTGGAAATGACCTTTCGAGAAGTATACACGAGGTGTGGACAATGGTTTGTCATGGAAAATAAATTTAAATCGCCTACGCTTCCAATCTTCGAGTTTTGTATCACCTTAAACCTTAGTCATTGGTTCGAAATAGCCACAACTATTTTTTATTATGTGTAAAAACATCAATTATAAAGGAAATGTGCTGATGTTTGCGAAAGGATAGGTAGAGGTTGAAATTAATCACGTATGGCATGAAAGCATACAGTATTAAATATGTTACAAACCGACTTTAACGCATCACAAACAATACAAATCCTAACCCAGACTTGTTTACTTAAGATGATGATAAAGTGAGTGAAGTTTGAGCAAAATCTCTCGAGGAATAAAGCCAACGGTGCTGACAAGATTTTTCTATGAAAAAATGTGACTTTGACCTTAATACTAGAACCCTGAAAGTCGAACTCGTCCGAGATATAAAAAAATGCCTTTTGTGATTCTGTATGACCTCGTTTTGTGAAACCCTGTCAAACACATGCTACAATACTCTCTCACGCGATCGGTATAAGAGTATAAAACTAGTAAGCCAGATGTCTCTGGTTCAGAATATGTCGAAAATCATTGAAATAAATATCGAATTTTGTTGAAAGGTAATTCCACGATCGCCAAAGTATGAAGCTATTACAAAAAACAGTATATTTGATGAATGACTCTCTCGTAGCATTACACCAGTTTTTTTTATAGATGTCGATACTTATGACGTCATAGCAGTTCCATGTAAAACAGGCATTATGACGTCATGAAGAGTTGTTGCTAGGTCACAGAATCCCGTAACGTTGTCAGCATATATGACTGAAGAGAGGGAAAACAAACATGAAATAAAGAAAAAGGATGGCAACAGGCGGTAATGACCGATCTTCTGTTCTCCACCACCACAAACAAACAACTGGCTACAAACAGAAACTCTTCGAGAAGAGAAAACATCTTAAACAACACGTGGGGGACCAGAAGCAAACAAAAACAGTGGAACATCTTTCGGAGACAGTGCTGAATGGGTTTGAGGTGCTTTGGCGCCAAAACATTCTATGTGACGTTGCAATTATCACAAAGGAAAAGACCTTCCATGCGCATAAGCTCGTGCTTGTATCGTGCTCCGACTACTTTTACGACCACTTCGTAGAAAAGCGTGATTTTACCCACGGAGACGAGTTGATCAATCTGGGCGATCTGGACTCGACTATATTTGAAGCAATTCTGGAATGCATGTACACAGGAAAAATCAATCTGACGGAAGGAAATGTTGAGGAAATTTTACGGGTTGCAACAAGTCTTGGATTCTTCCTTATCCAGGACGCATGCGAGGAGTTCTTCACGGACCATTTAGACCTGAAGAATTGCCTACAAATGCTTGATACTGCATTCAGATACAGTCTAAACAGACTGACCGATAAAGCCCTTGGTCTTGCCGCAAAGAACTTTCGGTTAGTCACAAAGAAACAGAAATTCAAAGATCTCCCAATGGAGCAAGTTGTTGCGCTCTACAAAGTAAGTTTGTCTTACCAAAAGAATGTAAGTGTAGTGTATAATGACAAGAAACAGTAAGTGTTAAGAAAGAGGAGTCTATTTCTACACTACTATTAACTTATGCGGGTAAGGGGTATGAGTTGCGGAAAAAAGAATATACGCATTTATTCGTTATTACTTGATCGTTATGGACACATATATTTTTTTCTTCCCGAAAACATTCTACCGTTAGTCAACACTGAGACAGTTTGCTGTTATTTTCAACATTTCTACATAACGAATATAATACACGCTGGGATTCGAACTCAGTCTCTAGCTAGACACTCTTCCGCTTGCCTACAGAAAATTCCTATTAGTTGAGACTTGTAAGGTATTCTATCATCTCAACTTCTACACTATTTCCTTCTTCACATATTCACCCACACCCGGGTTCTCTAGTACCAAGAAAACATCTCAATATCCTATAGTTTCCTCCCTTGGAGTGGCCAACGCTACCAAATAACATGTCCTGCCCCAAAGGGCTTGTGGGACTCGTGACCTCTTGGTATCTAGCCGAACACTGAAGGAACACAATCATTATTTCTAACTGACATAGTGATTACGGTTATTTCTACCTTGCACGACACCAAGCCCCAGTTGTTCATAATTTTGACGAGTTGGAGAAAAATGAAATAAAAATCACGTCGAGCTCGTGGTTTAGAATTATCGTGATTTTCGATGTGGATTCGGTTGTAACATGTTTTTTTCAACTTCCTCCATGCATCGCCGATTTGTAAGCAAGCGCTGTATCGTTCTGACGATTGCATGGTACTTTCTTAAGAGAGAATCCCTAACTGCATTTAAAACTGCGCATAGTTGACAATATATTTGTAGGCTAGATCCAACGAAATAGAAATAATTCTGAAATCAGACATGTGAAAATCTAACAGCTCAAATTAAACAATTATCATCAATGAATCTAGTATACACCAATCATTGTTTTACTATCATTCCAGAGAGATGACCTTGATGCCGATCATGAACTTGACGTTTTCAACAACATGATTGATTGGATAGAATACGATAAGCAGGCGAGACGTCCACATGCGTCCGATCTTTTAGCCACCATACGACTGCCTCTGTTGTCCCCAGCAACCATCGTCGACTCCGTGGAGTCCGTGTCGTTTCTGATGGACATCCCAGACTGTCAGACACTTGTGAAAGAGGCGCTGCATTACCACTGCATGCCATCACGACAAAGCGTGCTACAAGTAGGGTGTACATGCTCCGTCATTGATATAAATTCCGTATTATCTATTGCACATCCCATAGATAGCATAATGAGAAAACTTTGTTGATTCCATCCAATAAAATGGGAAATAGGGTTTGGGTCTTCCGTCAGTATCTGGCATTTAGCACTATGAAGTAGATATCCCCGGAATGACTTTCGGCTCTTCCCCTCTCCCTATCCCTTCTCTTTCTTCGTTTCGGAAAAAATACTATAGGTTATGGCTTGCAGCCCAGTCATTTTGATTGGTTTATATATATATATATCCCTCGGAATATTTGCCGCCAGGGAATTTTCATTTTCAAAAAATCAAATTTCTGCATTCAAAGGAAAAATACCACACTGACCGTTGATTGTTCAGATCGAATATGTATGTTGTAAGCAGACGCTTGATTGTATTCTCAATATTACATGACTGACATGGAGATAGAATTGACCAAGCATCATTGTAAACGAGACGCTCTGATGGGTTGCACGGCATTATTTCGGCACCACATTGATAGACTGCTTTACTTCCTCAATATTTTAAAAATAGACTCCGACGGCAGACAATTTTTGCAACCATTGTTGAAATAAATTTTAATTGAACTTTCTACCTTACAAAACTCTTTTTTGAAATTTAGGTTTTGTAAATATATCTCTTAAACGGTTGTCGAGATGTTTTATTGTCAATAAGGAAACGGTTCAACATTATTTTCTATATATCGGTCGCCATTTTTTAATTCTATATAACACTATAATAACAATATGTCGACCAATAGTTTGAAACAAGGAAGTTCTCACACATAATGCAATCACCAATTTTATTGATTGAAGTATTTTTTAATAAAAATGTTGCTAAAATGATACAAGAAATTAACCTACACAATCCGTGTGTTAGTAATGATTTGGTTTCGCTAGGATTATCGTTGTCGAAAAAAGAAAAAAAAAACCCACACAATTAAAAATCTTTTATATCTATTTATAACATTCAGCTTTTTTAAACTCTCACCCAGTTATGCCATAGCGAAAATCTCGCTAAGTTGAAATGGGAAGCTGTGTTAAATGTATATGACGATCAAGTTTCTAGTTTTCATCAGCTACACACTGTTGGGTAAACTGTGTTATTAAGGGCGGAGTCCTGTTACTATCTTGTTAGCTCTCACAACTGTCGTTAACCTGTCAATTAATGAAACTCTGAAATTACGTCCGTGACTCAAAGGTGCAATACTCGTATATTAACTGCATTTTAATGAGTTAAGGGAATTTCTTGTGTAGAGTTGGAGATGACGTTAAAATAATGGTTGCGTACGAGGTAACACATCTTTCATTGTACCGTGTGTCGTTATTTTTGTAGCCCAATAAAAGCGGCCGTTTGTTAATCCGATGTCGTCAGATTTTATTGTTGGGTTTACTTCCTCGTCTAACATATTCGAAATTATTTAGGAGTCTCCATTCTGCTTCTGATATATATACCGACACTTTTCAAATGAACACTGACAAGTTTTATATCCATCAAAGTGTTTTGATCGTTTACTAAATATAATAATAACATGTTTCCTTTAAATCTAATTATGACTTTTTAACATTTATCTGAACCAACTCCCTTCGCTACTTACGATAACGATGTTGAATGATTACAGTGACCAGTTTATGAATATTCGTTTTGAAAATTCATGTTTGTGACTCAGATTTAAATGTTTACAATGATTTTCTCTCATGTCAAAGTTGTAATAAATACTTGTTTTCCATTTTTCATTTTATTTTAGATACTCCTGCTGTATTTTGATTTTTAAGGAATATTATATTTCACAATTTTGACATTGTACCAGCAAGAACCTCTCACTGAGAGCAATTTTTTATTGTTTTATTACCAAGTCCCCAAGGACGATCCCACGCAGAAAAATTAAGGTCCTCAGTCTTCTCACGATCGGAGGTGCCCCCAGATTGAAGACGGAACAAGTAAGTGCTGAGATGAGGCGATATAACTTCGAAGGAAAGACGTGGGACTCCTTGACGGATCTTCCAGAGCCACGGCACCACCACGCAGGTATCCTGATCAAAGCTATATCACCCCATTATCAACAATGCCCTTCTATCTTATTTCTGTTTAAACAGCCAGCGTTTCTCCAATAATTCACTCCTATCACCAATGTCTCAATATCGAAAGTTACATTCAGTGTGTGCGGTCCTGTTTACACGATTGGTAAGTTGAAAATAATGTGTGATCACAATAACACGGTTGGCAAGGTGTACCTTGTGTGTTGTCACAATTACACGGTTGGTAAGATGTACCTTGTGTGTTGTCACAATAACACGGTTGGTAAGGTGTACCTTGTGTGTTGTCACAATAATACGGTTGGTAAAGTGTACCTTGTGTGTTATCACAATAACACCGTTGGTAAGGTGTACCTTGTGTGTTGTCACAATAACACGGTTGGTAAGGTGTACCTTGTGTGTTGTCACAATTACACGGTTGGTAAGGTGTACCTTGTGTGTTGTCACAATAACACGGTTGGTAAGGTGTACCTTGTGTGTTGTCACAATAACACGGTTGGTAAGGTGTACCTTGTGTGTTGTCACAATAACACCGTTGGTAAGGTGTACCTTGTGTGTTGTCACAATAACACCGTTGGTAAGGTGTACCTTGTGTGTTGTCACAATTACACGGTTGGTAAGGTGTACCTTGTGTGTTGTCACAATAACACGGTTGGTAAGGTGTACCTTGTGTGTTGTCACAATAACACCGTTGGTAAGGTGTACCTTGTGTGTTGTCACAATTACACGGTTGGTAAGGTGTACCTTGTGTGTTGTCACAATAACACCGTTGGTAAGGTGTACCTTGTGTGTTGTCACAATAACACCGTTGGTAAGATGTACCTTGTGTGTTGTCACAATAACACCGTTGGTAAGGTGTACCTTGTGTGTTGTCACAATTACACCGTTGGTAAGGTGTACCTTGTGTGTTGTCACAATTACACCGTTGGTAAGGTGTACCTTGTGTGTTGTCACAATAACACGGTTGGTAAGGTGTACCTTGTGTGTTGTCACAATAACACCGTTGGTAAGGTGTACCTTGTGTGATGTCACAATAACACGGTTGGTAAGGTGTACCTTGTGTGTTGTCACAATTACACGGTTGGTAAGATGTACCTTGTGTGTTGTCACAATAACACCGTTGGTAAGGTGTACCTTGTGTGTTGTCACAATAACACGGTTGGTAAGGTGTAATTGGTGTGTTGTCACAATAACCTGTTATGAGGTCACACTACAAGGATAAAGTAATGTATACCGATGTGATACACGGTTCGGCAAGGCGTAGCTGGTGTGTGGTCATGTGTGGTTACATTGACCCGGTATAGAAAGACGCACCTGGTGTGTGACCACACTTACACCCCTGTAGTAATGTTTACCTGGTGTGTGACCACACTTACACCCTATAGTAATATTTACCTGGTGCCGCCACACTTACACCCTATAGTAATGTTTACCTGGTGTGTGGCTACACTTACACCCTATAGTAATGTTTACCTGGTGCTGCCACACTTACACCCCTATAGTAATATTTACCTGGTGTGTGGCCACACTTACACGATATATTAAGGTATACCTGTTGTGAGGTAACTGGTGTGTGGTCACACTTACACGATAGAAGGTATACCTGGAGTATGGTCACCGGGTGTGGTATCTAGTGTGTGGTCACAATTACACGGTACAATAAGGTATACCTAGTGTATGGTTACTGGTGTATGATCAGAATTACACAATATAGTAAGGTGTATGGTCACTAGTGTGTGGTCACAATTACACCATATAGTAAGGTGTATGGTCACTAGTGTATGGTCACAATTACACGGTACAATAAGGTATACCTAGTGTATGGTTACTGGTGTATGATCACAATTACACGATATAGTAAGGTGTATGGTCACTAGTGTGTGGTCACAATTACACGATATAATAAGGTGTATGGTCACTAGTGTGTGGTCACAATTACACGATATAGTAAGGTATATGGTCACTAGTGTGTGGTCACAATTACACGATATAGTAAGGTGTATGTCACTAGTGTGTGGTCACAATTACACAATATAGTAAGATGTATGGTCACTAGTGTGTGGTCACAATTACACAATATAGTAAGGTATATGGTCACTAGTGTGTGGTCACAATTACACGATATAGTAAGGAGTATGTCACTAGTGTGTGGTCACAATTACACAATATAGTAAGATGTATGGTCACTAGTGTGTGGTCACAATTACACGATATAGTAAGGTGTATGGTCACTAGTGTGTGGTCACAATTACACGATATAGTAAGGTGTATGGTCACTAGTGTGTGGTCACAATTACACGATATAGTTGGTGTATGGTCCCTAGTGTGTGGTCACAATTACACGATATAGTAAGGTGTATGGTCACTAGTGTGTGGTCACAATTACACGATATAGTTGGTGTATGGTCACTAGTGTGTGGTCATATTTACACGATATAGTTGGTGTATGGTCACTAGTGTGTGGTCACAATTACACGATATAGTAAGGTGTATGGTCACTAGTGTGTGGTCACAATTACGCGATATAGAAAGGTGTATGGTCACTGTGTATGGTCACAATTACACGATATAGTTGGTGTATGGTCACTAGTGTGTGGTCACAATTACACGATATAGTAAGGTGTATGGTCACTGGTGTGTGGTCACAATTACACGATATAGTAAGGTGTATGGTCACTAGTGTGTGGTCACAATTACACGAGATAGTAAGGTGTATTGTCACTGGTGTGTGGTCACAATTACACGATATAGAAAGGTGTATGGTCACTAGTGTTTGGTCACAATTACACGATATAGTAAGGTATATGGTCACTAGTGTGTGGTCACAATTACACGATATAGAAGGTGTATGGTCACTAGTGTGTGGTCACAATTACACGATATAGTAAGGTGTATGGTCACTAGTGTGTGGTCACAATTACATGATTTAATAAGTTCTACCTTGTATGTGGTCATCGGGGTGTTGTCACTCATTGTCAGACATATGGAGAAACGACACTGATAATTCATCAGAGATCATGTTTAAATATCAACGTTAATATTACTATGACGAAATGTCAACACGTTGACGTGCTCTCAAAAGGAGAGTGGATGTCACGTTCTATTTTCGCATATCCCATCAGAAAATTAATTTCATCGATTCCGTGTTTAATTTTATTAGTGACATACATGATATGATCGTGACGACAGAGACCAGTATATATTGTGACACCGTCTGTGTTGTGTCGGTCACCCGCCAGATAAGGTTTTAACCCATCCATAATATCCCTCTTAATTAATGTATCAATCAATTAACTAATTACAGATTCAAATCAATATTTCCAAACTTGGCATTGCCAGCTTAACAACGTGTTGTAGTTCTTCTTTAATAGCTGGTTTTCCTAATTATTGTGATGGACCTTCCCCTAACACCATACACATACGACATTATTTGTTCATCAATAATTTAAATCATTACTTCGCTCTACTGTATCTTATTCAAAATTTGTATTGAAATGTGCCATTCATATGTGTATCTTTTGTACAATCTTCATATAAGACATGATAATTATCTATGAAATATGGTTTAGTTCTAAAAACAGGATATCCATCTTTTAAAAATATTATCGTTCTAAAAACAAGATAATATCTTTATGAACTAATATCGCAGGATAATTTTTCTGTAAAATAGTAACGTTTTGGAACAAGATAACCATATTGATAAATCAGCACTTTTTAAAATCGATAAAATTGACCTCGCCAAATAAATATCTGCGTAGATCAAAACAGATTAAGGAATTAAAATTATTTTTAAAATGTAAAGATAAATTTTATGTTTAGAGAATTATCGTTACTCAAAATTTACCTCACACATGCTTTTCACAGTAACGTTGTATAGATGAATTACTAGAAGTCTTATATTTTCTGGTTGGGAATCCTTTTTGATACTGTTTTTTTTTAAAATTCGAAGTTAGCAGACATATGCACCAGTGTCCAATCAATCAAGATAGAAATATCTATCTCCCAGAAAATTTGTTATAGCACCATGTATGTGTATGATATTGTAAGTTATAGTTAGAGTATATCCATAGATGAAAGTTATTTACGAAACAATATACTGTGGCACAGGTTTCTAGTAACACTTGCTGTATACAATAGACTTCAAGAATAAGAGGTATACGCATTTTCAATCATAGACTTTCAGGAGCAACATCGTTTTTAAATGATATCTTCTACCACAGTTGGGTGTATTTCAACTCACAAGGCAGTCATTGATTATTACGACTGTTTTGTAAACAAAATGGATCAACCACGCGTGGATTACACTCTAAACGCAACTAATTGGCTAACACGGTGAATTTTGACCGGAAGGTAGTCCGCCTTTGTTGTTGTAATTATTTTATTTTCATAATTATCACATTATCTCATTGAATATAATGAACCCGCTAATCACTTTTTATGATTTGCAATGAACTATAATGTTTCAACATATTTATATTATTGTCTGGGTTAAATATTAATAGGCGGCATATAGGTCATATAATTACGCCCAATCTGCTGTTATCGTAAACAAAACACACGTGGCTTCAGAACAGGTCTACTCATCGTGGTATAACGTTTTGATTGTGGAAAAAATGTCACACAAACTCTTTGTTGTTGTTGTATATGGTATTTCTTTTTTTAACAGATGCAAAGTATTTTGTTAAAGAATATGAAATAAGCGAGAACAGTGTACTTTTGGTCTGACTAGCATCATGACAGTTACAGAGAGTAGAATATACTGACGGTCAAACGTTAGGGACTTCAGAACAATTTGCAATTTGTGTGACTATTGCAATCCCCCCAGCACCCTCCCCCATCCATGTTCTAATGACGTTTAGGGGAAGAGTTGTTTAACATTTCATGATAACTCCGCTATCTATTGAATCATTGACCACTTGTAAAAATACACAGAAATGTAGTTATCACATATTATCTTTTCATCAATCTCCTGCAAAATGTTGACCAAACTGG